TTGCATGGGATGAACATAAAAATATATGTTTTGTGATAACTTTAAATAGGCTACCGTATATTATTTGCTGATAAAATATAAAATTTCTTAATAACTGTTGCACCCTCTTGGTCAGGTAGTTTGCCTAAATTGAGACAGCATAGGGGTTGGTCCGTGCGGCGCGCGCCGCACCGTGCCCTTCACCAAGTTGTCCGGCGTGGACGCCGCGGGGCGCTGTTGTCCGGCGTAGATGCATCCGGCGGTAACTCGAGAGCCGTGCGGCGATTTCACCGCACGCATCGTGTGAAGGCTCCCATAAGAACCAATGCACCTTCACCGAGTTGTCCGGCGTGGACGCCGCGGGGCGCTGTTGTCCGGCGTAGGTGCATCCGGTGGTAACTCGAGAGCCGTGCGGCGATTTCACCGCACGCATCGTGTGAAGGCTCCCATAAGAACCAATGCACCTTCACCGAGGTGTCCGACGTGGACGCCGCGCGGCGCTGTTGTCCGGCGTAGGTGCATCCGGCGGTAACTCGAGAGCCTTGCGGCGATTTCTCCGCACGCATCGTGTGAAGGCTCCCATAAGAACCAATGCACCTTCACCGAGGTGTCCGACGTGGACGCCGCGCGGCGCTGTTGTCCGGCGTAGGTGCATCCGGTGGTAACTCGAGAGCCTTGCGGCGATTTCACCGCACGCATCGTGTGAAGGCTCCCATAAGAACCAATGCACCTTCACCGAGGTGTCCGACGTGGACGCCGCGCGGCGCTGTTGTCCGGCGTAGGTGCATCCGGCGGGAACTCGAGAGCCTTGCGGTGATTTCACCGCACGGCGCGCGCCGCATTGTGTGAAAGAGGGGTAAATGTTTTCTTGTCCACTGCCCTAATGTTATACTTGTGATACCTAAACAAATGACTATCTTGGTAAACTAATCAAAACTTCCCAAACTGTAAAATCTATTTTCAAACAAAAATTAGCTTTGGAAAAAAACTAGCTGCAAATCTTACAATGGTGACGGGAGTTCACTTCAGAATCCAAACTCAGTCAATGGATTCAGAAAACTGGGATATTCCTAAAAGCGGGGTAGAACATCAACAATACATAACTACAACTGTTCATTGATGGTTAGCGTTAGCTTTCTAGCCATTGGGTTTTTACGGATACAATGGAGTACGTGTTTAACAATATGGGGTTTACTTAGTATGTATGACGCGTGTGTAACGCTCCTTTCACACTATACGTTTTCGCTCGTACGAGTGTTAATCGTGCGGGCAGACGGTCGTGGGTCTGTTGCTTTCACGCTATACGATTTGTAATCGTACGAGTATCGAAACCTCCCACTCCACCAGTACAGAGTTTATTGATACTTCAGTGGAAAGTTTTGTGGAGAATGGATCGGGAGCAAATTATTGCTGCGCTAATTATTTACAGACACAGGAAAAGAAATAAACGCGGCCGTCTGCACTGGGTACATCCCATAAATGTAAGACGTGAGGAAGTGGGTGTGTTTAATACATTATTCGAAGATTTGAGGAACGATGAAGCCAAGTTTGTTTAACTATTTTCGTATGTCGAAAGAATCGTTCGACGAATTGCACAATAAGTGATCTTAAAAGAAATAATATGACGTTCAGGAACTGCATTCAAACAGTTGAAATGCTGGCTGTGACTATATGAAGACAACTGAAACTAATTACAACAACTGAATAATACTATACAGTGCGCACAGGTAATTAAACTCAATAACCAAACAATCAAACTGAAAAACGAAATAAAAACTATATAGCAAAAACGCTGCGAACTGCACTCGGGGAGGGCTCCCGCACGACTAACAACCGTGTAGTGTGAAAAGGGCCATATGGTTACATGGTACACTAGCAGTAGACACGAATATTACTCGTGCGGGAGTCGGATACCAACCGTGTGCACCTACGGTCGCTACGCGGGTGAAAATCGTACACGGTTGGTAATCGTATAATGTGAAAGGGGTCATAAGCTCCATTGCGTTACAACAAATACGACTAATAACCGCACGAGCGAAAACGTATAGTGTGAAAGGAGCGTTAAGGTAGCGTGTATGATGAGACGCAGGTGACGCAAGTTCTGCGCCGCGCCGCTCTCCGCTGCGTCCGGGCGTCGCATGTTTGTGCGGCGGCCATGGCATCAGTCGGGCTATCAGGGCTACTAACTTATAGGGATTTTTATATTTACTTCAATCGTAGTAGGATAAATACACAAAACTAGCAAAAAAATGTTCATAAACGAAAAACCAAAGCACCTACCAGTCCTACCACACCGGCAACAGAAAGTAAATGGGGGAGGCAAAGCAGTACCGTGCTGGGCTGAGTTTGTTTTAATCAGTTGGCAGCACTTGACAGCGCCGCTGTGGCGTGCCGTAGAGTATAGTATAAAAGCTTCCATATAACGCAATGCACCTAGAGGCTGCACGTTTCTGCGGCTCGTATGTGCACCGTCGTGCATCTAGCTAGCCGCAGCGGCCTACTCTGCTGTGTAACGGTAATGTTACCGTTACACAGCAGAGTAGGCCGGTATCCACAGTGCGAGGCAGCTCGCTGCGAATGCCTCGTTGCGAATGCTCGCCTTTGCCTCGGACTGTGGATACCGGGGTTGCTCACTGCGAGCACCTGTGCGTCGCTCGCGTCGCACAATGTGAGGCGAGCCGTGTACTTGTCGGTCTCAAAGCAGTGCTCAAAGGTGCCTCACCCCGAGCTGTGCGTTAAGTGGATACCTGCACTGTCTGCCTCGCACCGTACCAGACTGTTCTCTGCAAACCATTTCACGCGAAACTGTCATCATGTATACTCATGATAGAATAAGAGATTAGTGAAGTGTTACGAAAGTAAACGTTTGCTTTGCGACTCTAAACACCGAGAGTATTATAATAAGTTTAAGAGAGAAGACTTGTGGCGCGAAATATCGCAGTCAATGAATGTTCCGGTGAAAGATCTGAAAAAGAATATTACGTCTCTGTTGGGGTCTTACCGACGTAAAAGGTCGAGGCTATAGTAATCAAGAATCTCAGATTACTATCTCAGAGTATAAGAATTTAAGAATCTCAGAATCTCAGAATCTCAGAATATAAGAATCTCAGAGTAACAGCTAATCTTTCCTTGGTCGTAATAGCACTTCGCATGTAGGTATCGCGTTTTTTCACGGCAGGCTCTATCAATGTAATTAAATGTTCAAAATCTTCCTTGGACATTCGCAAGAAATTTGTCACGTCTTCTTCGAACCTCACGTCTTCTAGGAGTCTGTTCCCATATTCAAACCGATTTCGATAAATCTTTTTGACCCACCAACGATGTTTACGTCGCTTTTTCTGTTGCTTTTTATTAATAATCGTTGCCATCACAATAAAAGCAGCAGCAGAAACTTGCACTTTTCTATGGAAAAACACCATTGTACCGACTGTCTTACGAATGCGGGTGGCTCGCGCCATGTTCGCGTGCTCGCAGTGAGCATTCGTGGTTACAAACTAGCTGCCAGCTAAAGAGCTCACCCTGAGGCAGATGGCACGAGGCATTCGCAGCGAGCAGCCTCGCACTGTGGATACCCGGCTTAAGCACCCATGCACCTCAATGCACTTAAGGGCCGACAAACGCAGCGGCGTGCGGTTACGCATGCAAGGCAAGTTTCGCGGCGCAAGCCACGCAGGTAGCAAGTACACGAATGTTATGATCAGCAGATCAGCGCATGTTGGGGTGCAGGACACGCACTACGCCAAGGTCGACGCTATTTTATTCTATAGGCCATAGAATAAAATATTTAATCGGTAGCATATGATTGTTTCCAGTAACAATAAAGGACTACAACGTTTACCACATAAACCCTCAGTTGTGGAACGCGACTACAAATCAAGTATACTTTTGACTCGGCAAGACATTATTTTTATCAATCTATCAGCGCTTTGTACCGAGGTACAAGGCACAAGAATGGCGTAAGAAGGACCCTTTTTGCGACAGTTTAGTTTTCCACACGATGAAAATAATAACGGTAAAATTAAGTCATCCCCTACACTGGAGTACTTGAGGTAGGTTGGCAGCACTGCAGCAGATGACTAGGTTCAGGTTGGCAACAGTGCGTGGGAGTGCCGTCCCTCGTTCCTTCCGCGATCGTGATATTCCATTGTTCCACCCCACACCCCACATAGAGAGCTGAAACCCTACTGTACTGAAGTGTATAAGTATAAGTGAAGTGTGTAAGTGTGAGGCCCTCTCTTCCTCGTGCGTACTTTTTTGATATAAAAACGTTCTGGAAATATTGAATTGAAACATCTATGTTTAGAACGTTCAGAATATCGGTATTTATAATCAACAGACACCGAAACTTAACCAATGTTAATGTTCTCCGCCTACATCGACATAACTTTATAAATGTTTTAGAATACCGATATAACCAAATCGGGGTTACTGCTCCACAGAATTAGAATGATTTTCATTAAAATTGTTCTTCTGAAATTATCTATAGCAGATTAGTCATAAAATAAATGCTCTTACTCCCGGAAAGTAGTTTTCGTATCTTTCATTACCGGTTTAAACGGAAAAGCTTTGTTTAAAAAACAGTTAGAATAATCGGTGGATATCGTTCTACACCTATCGATATATTGGAAGCAATTATACTATCAATATTCAAAATATAAACATCAATATTTAGCATAGTGAATGTGTTCTGTATGGCGTAATCACGACTATTCAACAAACCGTAGACTACTTAAGTTACTCAACCATTCGACTTTTATACCATTCGTATCTCCATCACATAGACGCATCTAGGTGTAATGCATGAACGCACAAATATGAACGTTTAAACTTATTTGAAACGCACGACGAGAAACACAACAAAATGGCAACCATTCACACAAACCCGCCAACAAAACATATACAACTACCCCTACTTGCTGGAATTTGTACTTGTAGGTTTTGTCATACAAAACCTACAATAGGATTTTTCAAGAAGATAGCACATGAAAGAAATTTTAAAGAAACAATAACTGTTAACTTACACACAACGTCCTGTTCGGCTGGCGTCCTTTCCTCAAAATCCATACAGAAAAGGGAGCACATTTCATACCACTGATTCTGTCGGACACTTTTGTCTTTGTAAGAGTCAAAAGTCTGGTCCCAAAGTGCTGGTCTCTTCTTAATCTCCGCGATGAACAACTCCGGATCAACGTTGTTCATCTTGTCGTATCTGCAATGTCGACAACGCAAACGAAACTTCTGATCGAAGGAACGCAACGCACGCTGATGCTCGACGCGACAACACTGCGCGCCGCGCGCACTGCGGACTGCGTACGTACTAGTGCCACGTGTCTACTTGACGTGCACTCCCTTCGACTGTCAACACTCGACTCGCACTTAAATTCGCACAGGGCCTGATTAGGCAGGAGTGCGATTTAAGTAGGGCGCCAAGTGTTTTAGGGGGGTGCCAGACGACTAAAAGTTGGGACCGGGGGCGTAAAGATGTTTTATTCCAAAAAAAGATTCGCGCAGATGGGGAATGAGGCGGGGAAGGGTGGTTCAGCAGATTTTCATAATCATTATATTTATAGTAATAATTGATTTGTAAAAACATTTAACGATACTTTTTGTTACATATAAATACAGATAAATGCTGTAAACTAATTAATTCCATCTAAAAGCCCTAATTGAATTGTTTTAGGCCTAGGTGATTAACAGAGTTAATTTAGAAAGTACGCATATTATTGTTTGGTATTGGTTTTTTGATATTTACTTTTGATTCAATACAATCATATGTTTAATAAAATGTGAAATAAATACATTATCTATACTATTATATAAAAATCTAGTGGTGTCTGTCTTTATGTTTGTTACTAATAGGCGCATAAACTACTGAAACTGACTGGGCTTAAATTATACAAAAATATAGCTACCATACCAAGGACCTTTATAGGACTATTCACACTTTAGATAAATATTGTTCACACCATTTGCCTTTTCACAAATTTTTAAATCGTAATTTCATATTACTATCCATAGATTAGTTATGATGTTTTCTAATCTAGAGGTAGCTACTACCTATCTATATTATGACTTTTGACACTTCCTGTGGATTTCACATTCTATTCTAATAATGAATAACTTTTTACGAGCGTCATGGTCATCGCATGTATATTTTCAACCAAGTTCCTCTTAACTAAAACCTACCTTCGACATAAAAATTTATTTATTTATTGCTCTTTACAATTGTTACATTGTGTAGCATTTTTACATTGTGTGATTCTAATATTTATAATTACATAGGGGTTATTTTATAAAATTACACTTTAAATTAATTTTAATTTAATTTTAATTTAAACATTAACATTGTTTAAATGCCGTTAAATTTCCTAATTCTAAGCTGATATAAGATTTCAAAAAGCACCATTTAAACATACATCAACCCCGGACGAAGGACGGGTACTCTGCTAGTTTTAAATACAGTAAAAAAGTTTTACATTCCTTGGACAACCGATTTGTTACTATTTTTAAAAGTTCCTAATCAAACCATGCATTAATTTATTATCAGTTTTCTTTTGTTTTTAAATAAACTGAATATTAGTATAATGCCTTTGGCCATTTTTAATTTTAGAATTCAGTAAGTTATTAGTATTCATACTTTGAAATTTTGAAAGTGGTGGCAGAGAGGAGGGGTAGTGGTAGGGAGGAGGGGGCGCGAAAAAACGTCAGCCTGCTGGCGACTAGACCCTGGATTGGATTCGCACTCGCACTCGCAGTTCACTAGTTCACACTTCACAGTTGGCAATGGTAGTCACTTACTAGTCAGTCAGGTAACAAGAGAGAAAGTAGTTAGAGGTTGGTATCAGTGCGTTGCCTGAAAGACGTTTGTTGTGTCCGTTGTGCCGTGCGACTAGACAGTGTTGCCACTACCACTACACCAACTCTCTCCGTCGTCCGTTACCTCTCCGTCGAGACCGAGTTTATTGGGAATGGGCACACGGAAGGGACTAAGGCTAAAGGTGTAGTGACGTCATATCTCTAGTGGTTAATGTCTTCTCTTGAGGCGACACGATTACCGTAACGAAACGATATGATTTCAGCGGCGTTCGTGGCATAGTTGGTAGCGTTTCGGATTGATGTTCAGGAGGTCCGGGGTTCGAAACCCGCCGGTGGCACTAACTTTTTATCAACAAATTTTTCATATCAGCAAGTTTGGTTGGTTAGGTTAGGTTATGACAGTTTAATTTTATAATACTAAATTTTAAAATTAATTTTATAATTAATTAAAAATTATAAGTTATAATTAATTAGATTTTTACCTTATATAGTTTTTATATTATCAGCAAGTCTGGTTGGTTAGGTTATGTTATGACAATTTAATTTTAAAAATTAAAAATTTATTTTGTAATTTTAATTTAATAATTACAAAGTTAATTTTATAACAAAATATTAAAAATTAATTTAAATTTTTTCAACTTAGCAGTCCTAGCGGCGAACGCTGACACTACAATGTTAGCCTTAGTCCCTCCCGTGTGCCCCACCGGAGTTTATTGTCCTATACGGCGTTTAGCCACCGACAACTACTGTATAGGGTTTCTCGTCAGTCTACGGTCGAAGACACCACGACACGACAGGAAACAATAGATTCGCAGTAAGTTATGGCGATGGCACAACTGTCTGAAAATCAGGACATCTGAGCTGACCCAGCTGACTTGTCAATGTGATGCGTTGCGTTGCGTTCACTACTCTATGATCAATTTTCTCGACAAAAGAGTGTCGGATGATTTTAGCCAGCCATTTAGTGTGCTAGGGTGTTATGAAAATCTATCTATATATTTAATACGCGACATGAAACTTTGTGAACAATAAGGCTTTTTTGTTTTAAGATTTAACCCCACATATTATATACCAAAATGTTCGTCTAGGTGTGTAGATGTGCAAACTGGTTTTAGATTTTCGAAATATATCATTTTAAGGGCGTGGGGTGCCCTCAAAGTTCCTTCCATAAGGATAACGTTGTGATTGATTTGAATGTTATTAAATTCTGAAACAGATGTCAATACATTACTGAAAAAAATTAAATCCCAGCTATTTTGTTTTATTTTGAAATGTAAACAGTTTGCATGTTTTCAAAAATAATTAGATACCCGGCAAAGAAATGTTACCTATTATAGAGAAAGGTTTTACATCATATTTTCTTTTAAACATGCCAAGGACCCGACGACAAAGAAATATTGCTGGTCGGACACGACAATACGGCAAGCAATGCAAAACGTAAGGAGCCCAGACGAGGAGCTGAAACAACAGTTATAGTGGCAAAGTTTACTTAAAAAATTACACTGACAAATACAAGAATTCACCAGCATTCACTTGGCGAGATGACATTAAAATGTCAGAAATGTGCTGCGCTACATTTTAAAGAAGAACAAAGAGGACGATGCGAAGGATTTTAATCCTGCTGCCATAAAGAAAAAGTGAATCTACAACCATACCGAGAAATCTATAATATCCAGAGCCTACTTAAATGGAGCAAATCATTTGAGCAGAAACTACAAAGAGAACATTAGATCGTACAACTCTGCGCTCGCAATGGTCAGCACTCGAGGTAAAATTGAAGAACATAACGGTGGAGGGCCTTTCATGTATAAGGTGCACGACACAATTTATCACTCAATTGGCACCTTTCAACCGTCAGAAGGGGAGCATCCCACATACATCGAAACCGCTGTTTAAGGAAGAATGCTAAACAAAGCTAATGGCTCTTGCAGCACTGAACTCATGCACATTTTGACTCATCATTTGGTTGATATTAATCCATACGCGCAAGTTTTCAGCATTATGAGCTCCGTCCAGCAAAATACTCTTACTGAACAACAAAAAGAACTTAGAATGCATATAGCCAACGATCGAGCTCAAGACCAACGTCGATACAACGACGCAACTTTTAACGACGTTGTTATAATATCCTAATTTATTATTCGTGCGAATTCGCAAGGTTCACCTAGTGATATTTACTATCGTATGTTGTTCCGTATGACCAAGGAATGGAGTACAATTTATTAATTTCCTTAATTTTGAAAGTATTTATAACAAGTTTACAACTTTGACTTTGAATTAACGTTTAATTTTTGTTCAATAATTGTTGTTTATAATGTAATGGTAGTTTACGCAACGATCGCGTAAAGATAGTGTTTACGACACGGGTAGAAATTTAAGGCACGCTCCTTGGTGAGTGCCTTAAAACTTCTACGAGTGTCGTTTTACGCGAGTTGCGTTCACTACTTTACATACGACAGTTTTTTAATCAATCACTTCACTACTCTTAATTTAAGAGAGGTTATGTTTTCGTCTATTCTCAGTGCCAGTGACGCAGCGAATCATTGAGCGCGTTCTGGGAACATGTACCGGTGCAAAAACTGTGTCGTTCTGGGAGACCGGTGAGTTAACCTAGCAGACAGCTATTTCCTCTTTTTCCTCCACGGAAATTGGTACGGTGCATAATACACCGGCGGATTCTGATTGGTCAGTTTCTTTGACAACAGCTTGCAGCCACGGCAAGATGGCGGGTCCACCGAATAATGTTCATTAGTTTTATAGGTTATGTTGCGTAATGAGTGATTATAATTTATTCTATGAGGGGGTTAAATTACGTATTAAGTGAATAATTATCAAATAATTTATTCTGTGAGGACAAGTTTGTTTGGTTTAATATTATAAAGTAAATAATAGGTGAATGTGTAAATTATAATCCAATGTGTACCGTAAACCGGTGAATAACCGTTCTGGGATACCAAGACTCTTGCCCCGGGGCGGTACCGGTGAGTTATAGTTGTGGACAGGGTAACTCCGGACCAGGAAAAGGAGACCTACCTGCCTCGGCTATTGTAGAGTCGCCCGACCAACCGACCCTAATTAGTGTCGCTTGGCTGCGCTCAACGAAAACAACAACTAGATACCCAATACCATAAACTTAAGTTAATTTATTTACAAAAATTATTAATATTTATTATCATATAATGTTTTGTTTTAAAATGTCGATCATTTTGATACTAAATTTGATGTAAATCGGCCAATTTTGACCATTTGTGCCGCCAAACTAGTTTTTCTTTTAAAAAATAATTTTTAACAAACAAAGAAAATTGAATATAATTTACATCAAAGCGTGAGCAAATGGAGGAATAACAAAATGCGTATGTATGAATGTATTAACATTTTATTATATCATAACCAAAATAAATAGATCGTTTGAATACAAATTTGAAAACATAATTTTAATCAGTAACTTGATTAACTGTACAATATTTCTACTGATTCTAAATTTATAAAAATGCAAAGGCACAAAGTACGAAAAAAACAACACGACATAAATTAAAACATATAACACAGTGTGAAAGTTGTAGCTAAAATTTAACTAATACTAAATAGGCATGCCGCATGTGAAATATAATATAAAATTAAGCAACATAGAAAACATGATTACGACAAAAATCAACACGACATAAATCAAAACATAGATAGAGCACAGTGTTAAAGTTGTAGCTAAAATTTAACTAATACTAAATAGGCATACTGCATGTGAAATATAATATAAAATTAAGCAACATAGAAAACGTGATTTTAAAATGATTACGACAAAAATCAACACGACATAAATTAAAACAGAGAGCATAGTGTGAAACATTTATTGACATTTTATTTACAGCAAGTCACTCCTTTGGTATAAACAAAAAAAGTACAAAAAATCAATTTAATCTATTTATACGAGAACTTTATATGAGCTATTATGGACACTTATATATAAATTATAAAAAATTAAAACGCTCTCCTGTAAAAAGTTGGTTTTTTTACTTGTGTCGTTTTTCTTCTGCATTATAAGAAAATAACAACTAAATATGAACAGAAAAATAAAAATAAATTGTAGAAATTCCAATTACATGTTTTATTTACAGTGTTTTGCTTATTAATATATAGGGTAGGCCTACTCTGTAACTTAGTTTACTGTAAAATATTCACAAAATATACAAAATTACGGTTTAATGCACGTGCATTTCGAATTAATAGTCCTTGGATGCTAGCGGTCATCTTTGATGATTTCAAACAGCGGTCGAAAGGTTATTTATAATCAAAAAATATTTTTTTTCAAATACCAAAGTGTTTGTAATTTTAATATCCAATGCACTGTGAGACCAGAAATTAAATTTTATTTTTTAATTGTTGTATGAGTTATAAAGTCTAGGCTCCAAGGACAATAAGAGAATGTTTTATACAACACCTTATAAAGGACGGGCCAGTTCATCATCCGAGTATTCTGCACTGTCCTCGCTGCAGCTGATTTCTTCAAAGTCAGTTGTTGAGTCGTCTCCGTCCGCCAAGCTGATTACCAGTCGGTCTTGGACGTCGTCGATGATGGCGTCCACCTCCCACATAAACTCTTCTACCTTCTTGACGTGGTTGACGAATGATTTCCAATCATTAGCGGTCACATTGTTTAACGCGTCATCCAACAAAGTCTCGACGGATTTTAAGCTGTAGTCAGTGTTGGTTCTTGCGACTTCATTCTTCACCTTCGCCCACACCAGTTCAATAGGGTTCAGCTCACAGTGGTAAGGTGGAAGTCGCAGGACTGTATGGCCACAATCTTCAGCTATTTTATCTATTTTATAGGTTTTAGCAGCTAAGCGCAAGTGAGCTGGAATCCGAGTTAAAAGTTCTGCTTTGACATCACTTAAATTGAAAAACACCCCATGGCTTGTAAGAAAGTTCTGGATATCCTTTTTTTTCCAACTCATGTTTGGTATCTTAAATAGAGTTTCACTATGATAGGAGGCATTGTCCATTACTATGACACTGTCGGGGGGCAGCAAGTGAATGATGCCCTCGAACCAATCCTGAAAGGCTTTTCCGTTCATTTCATCGTGGTGATTTGCGTTTTCTATCTTGGCTGTTTTTTTCGCTTTGAAAACCCATCGAGCGTCAATGTCGCCTGACGGGTTGGTCGGATCTTTTAAAAACCCATCTTCACTGCCAATATGAACCATTATAAGGCGCCCCCCTCGTCCCGGCAAGTCTCGCAGCCCTGTTGTCTCGCCGTTCATGTGCGCTTGTCTTGCTGATTTTATATATTTAGGTGTCCACGCCTTTTTTGTAGTGTGGCCAGCATTGCACCAAGACTCATCCAGGTAAAATATTTGTTTCCCTTCCTCTCTAAATCGTTTAACTTCTATCAAATATTTCCTCCTCCACTGCACGATGTCTTCACGCTCAATAAGATAAGACTGTCTTTGTCGCCTTTCAAACTTGAAGCCCAAGTCGTTGAGAAGTCGTCTTGTGGTTCGATCAGTCACATGTGGTAGGTCTGGATCTTCATTTATCATTTGCGCGACAGTCTTTGATGTAGGTGGAATATTTTTCCTGTACAGCTCATGCACCTTCCTTCTGATGGCAGTTTTTTGGAAGTCAGTGTAGACTTTCATGCGTGTTTTTCGTCCCTGCCGATTTGGTCGTTTTTTCCCCGGGGTAACCAATGGTCCGTTGTCGAATTCCTTTTTAAGCTGTTCGATGGTTGATCTGCTGGCACCAGTTAAAGCTCGAACTCTATCCACGATGTTCCTCTTGCTCATTTCCGGATTTTCCATGCGAAGCACTCCGTAAACGTGTAAAATAATTCGCCGTTCACCACTTGAATACGAATTATGAGTTCGACTCGTTACATACTTTTCGGGAGACGCGGGTGTCGGTTCTGCCATAGTTGTTCACACCACAAATGGAAACCACTAACTAACCAAAAAGGAGTTCGTCGCCAAAGATAAGGGTTGTTTGGTTCAATCGCTATAATGAGTCCCGTTACAATGAGTCATCACAAGCATCGGTTACATTACAAAGTGTCAAGATTCGTTACTCATCCCTAGTCCAAATACTCTACATGTCGAACAATGAATCCACCACAAGCATTCGAATGAATCATCACAAACCTGAGTCACGTTACAAAGTGTCAAAATTCGTTACTCATCCCAAGTCCAAATACTGTCTAAGTCGTTAATATATTACGATACGTTAATCCGGAAATGAGCGAGAGCAACATAGTGGATACAGTTTGAGTTTTAATTTTAAATGGTGCGAGCAAATGGAAAGTACACGAGCTTTATTTTAACAACAAAACCGCAATTTTAGATTCTTTTGTAAATATAGTACAATAATAAAAGTTACATAGTATAAAAGAAAAACTAGTTTGGCGGCACAAATGGTCAAAATTGGCCGATTTACATCAAATTTAGTATCAAAATGATCGACATTTTAAAACAAAACATTATATGATAATCAATATTAATAATTTTTGTAAATAAATTAACTTATGTTTATGGTATTGGGTATCTAGTTGTTGTTTTCGTTGAGCGCAGCCAAGCGACATTAATTAGGGTCGGTCGGTCGGGCAACTCCACAATAGCCGAGGCAGGTAGGTCTCCTTTTCCTGGTCCGGAGTTACCCTGTCCACAACTATAGTCACCGGTTAATCTGCACCGGTGCACCGGTACATGTTCCCAGAACGCGCCCATTGTTACCAACACTAGCAGAACTTATTAACAATTAAATTGGTCTAAACAGATGATTAGTTGACATTCGAAACATTACAATTTTACTTCTTCTCTCTCAATCCTTGTACCTCATTGGTCCGATACCCGTGTTGTTATGTAAAATACCATGCTGTTATGTGAATCTTTTCAATTCTGAGAACTGAACTGAATCGGCTACTTAAAAAAACGACCGTAAGTAAAAATATATGCAAATGCATTACAATCTGTAATACCCTGGTAGGTAATACCTCACAAATACATAGGCCTACACCTAGGAACCTATTTCCCCACGACTGTAGTTAGCTACGAAGGTGAAAACTAAAGAACCACTTTAAAACTATCCAGATTTGATACTTCGAATACTTTGAACAGTGGCGTCATTTCACAAGTTCCTTGGGTGGGGGGGCAAACACCGGGGGCTATGGAATATCCCCCAGGAACCAAGGGGGGTCCGGGGTCCTCCCCCTGAAAATTGTGCAGTTTTGAAACAAAAAAAGAGGGGGTTATGCTTATTTTAGTTGTCAAAAGCACTTCAAATTAAAAAAAATTATGAGTAAAATTTATTTAAATTTAGACAGAAAGTTAATGAAACTAAAGAATTATTGACAACTAACAGACAAAAACACAATAATTTTTTGTTGGTAAGTTAGTCATCTAAGAAAAATTCCATGATGTATTAATATTATGTTTGTTATAAGATTCATGACCAATTTCTCTTAAAGTACAACATTTAGCAATAAATACGGTTGTTCATAGCCTATGATTACAACAGTTTATTTTGGTTTTTAAATCAAATACAAGTATTTAAGAACTTAAAAGCAAATCAAATTTAATCACCAATAAAATAATTTGACACAAAAGTACAAAAGGTTCTATTTAACTATATTAAATTGGTAGTCTACAATGTTCAAAATAAATTACATAAAATGTATACACATGTATAATTTTAATGCTTGAATAATTCATAAAAGTAAATGACAAAGCAATGCTTCTAAAATATCTGAATTTTTATGTATATATATATAAACTAGAAGTAAGTGGTTTATCGTACAGCACCAAACAGAAAAAGTAAATGAATAACAAAATTACTAATTTATGTAAACTCAAAATGAGCTATATCTAAGACAATAAAACAAATATAATTTTTGTTTCAAATTACTGTGCAAGAGTATAAAGATTTTTGTCTGCTGTGCATTTTAGGATTTGACAGGAGAAAATATTTTTTTATTGGCTAGTACAGCATATTTTTTTCTCTAGCCCAGGATCCAGGGGGGGGGGGCAAATGACCCCCTGCCTGCCCCCCCCACAATGACGCCCCTGACTTTGAATACTTCGCGGCAGCTATATACCTAAATCAAATCATATTAAAATTGTTGAAGTGATAAAAATATTATTACGTGTATTCTGAGTAATACACACAATATCTATAACATTCACTTACTCAACCAAGAACCAACAATTACAATATTTCGAATTTTCTAATGTCGGTCTCGACCTGAGTTTCCTAAATTTTTGAAACAACAATAGTGATGTCGTCATCGTTAATTAATGTAAATTTTAAATTATTTTCCCATGATTTCAAAAGGGCCGATAGTTGTACCCGGGACCAATTTTCTTTTTCGTATTAATGCCCCCAGAGGTCAAATGCACCATTCATAAAAATGTATGCATAATAGGTTGGGTAAAAGTATAGATACCCTCTTAACTTTTCAACGGGCTACACCATGAAAATGAAACTCTGCCAACCTATGGGTTAAAAGTGCGATTTTTGGTAATTATGGGAATTTCACCCTGGACCTAACAAAACAGGGTACTTAAAAGGGGCTACTTCTAGAGTATTTTGATTTATTTCAAAATATTAAAAAAGTGTCACAGCTGTGTTATTTTTCAAGCGATTTTGATCAGGTGTCATTAAAGTCCCGTAAAAATAAAAATGGTTGAAACGATTTTTTTTTAGTTAAAAATAGTTAATCCCTCCGATTTAAATTATCTATACAACTCTCAAATAATTATTAAAGATATTATAAAATCAATTTACAGGCAAGTAAATACAGTACAAAAAATACTACTTAACTGAAATATGAATTGGAGATTTGATAATAGAGCCGTTCGTTTTATACAATAATCAGCCTCAGTATACAATAATTAATTGTCGTAGTCTACACAGCTTTGACAATGACAAGTCACAAATAAATGCAATCAAGTTATTTTCGAAACAAACAGTAAACGCATGGCCAATAAACACCAGAAAAACAACATAGCAAAAAATAACAATGTAGCAGCAACTTTCCAACACCTGTGTGGTAAATACTTTAATTTCAAACATACTTGAGCTGTTTACTAATGGTAGTTTGCACAATCGCCGCTTGTGTCGCTAGCGCCCAGGCTCGCAACAGTTCGGAGACTCGCCGCCAGGTGTCTCTTGTATCGACTTTGCAAACCACTGTCGTTTGTTTATTTATCAATCAATTAAATTGCATAAAGCAAATAGTACAACAACCAAACTTGTTTTTAGTTAGACAAATAAACATGCAATTTGTTTTAAAAAGCAAACCCTTTTACATTTGAAGCCGTTGTGGTTAAGTGAGAAACTTCTGTATCTGTTGACACTCGCAGCGATTTGTGGTACTTGATACATAGACTAACCCCACTTAACTCTAATCCTAATAGGAGTTGACGGTAGAACGTAGAATTTAGGCATTAAGTAATGCCGTAATTTAAAACTCTTTGAAAAGCCGAGAGTCGTTTCTCTGACCTGAGTTCGATGATTGGCTTGCAAGTCAAGTATAGCAGTATAGCAAGCGTGTGTCGGATTCAAAGGAATACAATCACAGTCTAACAATCCTATATATAATATGAGTAAAGTTTGAATAATTGTTACTTCGATCTGGGAATCGGCTCTAGCAAAATAGTTTATACTTACGGAGTTACTAATTTCTATGTAAAAAAAAGTTCTAGACCAGTAGTATAGCCAGGAAAAATCTATTTTCACCATAATACGAGTACAAACTTTTGAAAATTTAACATGGGCCTTATGAGAAAACATTCCGCCAGTGTTGTCATTTTGTTTACATTTTAAGATATAACTCGACGTTCTGTACGCACGGGCACCTCAGCTTGCGCATGCGCGGAAAGCTCTTGAAGCACTTTCCTAGGTAACTGTTACTTCTGATGTGTCTTAGCTTCTAACATACAATTTTATCAACTTGAGACAGTGAGAAAGAGAACGACTCGACTTTGCGTTCATTAAATCGTTTGATGTATAAGGATTTGTTCCAGGGTAATGAGTTTCTAATCCATTCTTATAAATCTATTCTTATATTATCCACAGCTTTATTAACTGTTTATTAAATACTTTTGCCAATATAAACGAGCTATATATCTTATTTTTTATATTTTTAATGGTTTTAATTATAATTATCTGCACTGAATTATGCCTACTCTTTTCGTTGGCTGTCGTGTCGTGTCGTTGTCAATAAAGTCGTCTGATTCTGACTGATGTCAGATGTTACACTGAATCAGTCACAGGGATAATAATTAATTGTAACTTACCACTAGCTTACCTCCTGAAGATCAATCTTATAATATGTTATTATATATTTATAATATGCAATGGTTCAAAAACATTCATAAATAATACAAATATTTTTTAATTGAAGAACAGCTAAATTGCATATTTCACAGTTTCATGCAGCTTTTTCCATAACTATGAGGTAGGTTTATTTTAATCTAAAGTTTTATCATGGATTATTTATTCTAAAACTATGTCAATGATTACAGAAATAAAAAAGAGATTCAATAACCGTTGCTGTATCATTGCGGCTCTGCTTTGGATTTTTTAAAGCGTCATGTGTGTTATTGATATATTTTCATGGAAACAGTATGAAAATTACGATATATGGATGGTTTTTATGAATTCGGAGGCTATTTTTTATAAATTCGAACTGTTGAACATGTGTTGGATAAACTTAAAATAACTTGCACTTTTTTTATATTTAGGTCAATTTAGTAATAATTGCGTCTTCTACATCACTGATTAAATAAAACTAAGAAAAATATAATACAACTTAGATGTACGCAGTATTTTTTTGTTTCTAAAATCAATTAAATATATGTTACTATGTTTACTTAATTATTTTAAAATCCCTATAATCTTATTAAATGTTTTCGAAAATCGCCGCTTGTGTCGCTAGCGCAGACAAGCAGAAAAGAAACCTCCAACCAAAAATCTTACTAATAATTGGGCTTTAAATGAGTTATCCTGACTTATGAAAGCGCTGATCTTAGTCAGTAACAAAGCTACACAGATCATCTCACAACAATCTACGCTCATCCTTCACTCGTTGTTATATGGGTTGAAATACACACATGGGTAGCTCGCAATCCTTAATGAATATGAATAAAATATCCTTTACAAAAATTAATATGGTATAAAACGGGCATTTCCTGACTCGAAAAGCGGATTTTTTTTAGTCGTATGGGCTGGACACACCGTAACTACATGCGGCATAATACATTATTGATTAATAACAAATTCATGACATAACGTAAATGTATACAGGGTGTCCCGGAAGACTCTGGATAGTTTTGTATATTTGTTCCTCAGGTCAAAACAATGCAAAACACCACATAAACATGGGTCTAAAATGCCTGGTTTTCTGTCTGTGTGTAATTTTCACAAATGTATCCATAACTTTCGAAATCCTTAATTTAGCGATTGACGATTGACTTGAAACTTTGTACGTAACTAGTGACAGATAGACTAATCTTTGCATAAAGTATGAGATTTGTAAATTGTACCAATTCAAAATAGCGATAATTTAAAACGGTATTTCTTAAAGGCGAGTGATGATACATAAAACTATCAAGAGTATATTGTGTTTTTAGGACATTTTATGGCAAATCCAACACATTTTTTACAAAAATGCTTTCTCTTGATTGTTTTTGTATCATCATCATCACTTATTTCAAAAATATTTAAAGAGAGAAAATTTAAAATGACCGCTATTTTAGATTGGTACAATTTATAAATCCGATACCTTTGCAAAGGTTATACTTACCTGTCACTACTTACGTACTAAGTTTCAAGTCAATCTTATGGAGTTCAAATGTTTGTGAAAATCACATAGACAGAAAACCAGGCATTTTAGACACATGTTTATGTTATGTTTTCCCATACAAGGGGTTCCAGAGAGTTCTGGGACACCCTGTGGCATGTATCGTGCTTAATTTTAAAATATTAGTTTTAGAGGTAGGCCTATATCAATGCAATATACATAAGAATATGCAAGCCAATCGTCGAACTCAAGTAAGAGATTGACTCTCGGCTTTTCAAACAATGATTTATTATTATTAGTGCTAGAAACACATCTTATCTTTGGTCAATTCAATTGTCATTGGAAATTGGGTACCTCTATGTATCAAGTACTAACAATCGCTGCGAGTGTCAAAAGATACAGAGGTTTCTCAACCACAACGGCTTCAGATGGAAAAATTCATTATTTTGTAAATAAAAAAACTTGTTTATTTATGTAACGAAAGCAAATTTTGGTTGTTGTACTTTTAACTTTATCCAATTGATAATTAAACAAACGAGAAAGGATTAAAAGTCTGTGGAGGAGACACCTGGCGGTGAGTCTCCGAACTGTTGCGAGCCTGGGCGCTAGCGACACAAGCGGCGATTGTGCAAACTACCATCACTAAACTGCTTTTAGAGAAGGTAAGTTCGGATCGGTCGGTACTTGTCAGGGCTACAGATATACATGTATATCTGTATATATCTGTAGTATATGTATATTTAGTATATGTATATTTAGTATATGTATATATGTATATATATGTATATCTGTAGCCCTGGGTACTTGTTCCCAGTAGGGAAACACTAATAATACAGTAGGTATGTTCCTATGTACGTTCGTAATCATATAGAGCAATCTATTGATAAACCTATGTTGTATTTTGCTGTCGATTAAAAATACACAAAAAAGATCAAAATAAACAAAGTAATACTCCACAACCAGTGAGACTATTTTAATCGTTAAATCATAGTTTTTCTGTTTTTCACACTCAATTACAAATTAATCTTCAGCAATAGAAAAACGAATCTACATTATTCTGTGCTTTAACACCAAATTCAATGTTTATTACAACTTCCTAATAACCTCAATGCTTTTAACATTTATGTAAATTGTTCTTCTCTGCCACAAAAGTTCACTAGATGCAATCTCTCGTCTTTTTAAGGGATGTGTTATTAGTTGTATTTTGGTAATCATTGATTTAAATGAATGCAGTTATGGTAAAACTAAAACCTATGAGGTCAAGGAAACTAATTTTGTTTAAGTCAATGTCAGAGCACACTTTACAAGGATTTATAGCTACTGAGGAATTTTGTTCTGGCTTATGTAATGTGGTTAAAATCAGAAATCGACTAATTTCCAATCCATTTACTTGGCAGAAATTGTTATAAAAACCTGGATCGATAAACTAGCATATTTGTATTTTTTAGTGAGCGTAAACACCTCGATAATATTGGTAGTTGGATCTTTTAACTACTTTTTTCCTGAAAGTTTTATATTTTTTAATTTTTAACTGTTTACTAATGTTTATTTTATAGCACAGTGAAAACATAGCACTCGCTCTACAGGCTAAAGCGGCTTATGAACTCTCGATAGATTCAAATAACACCTTTTTGAGCCTGTAATACCTTAATACCGACCTGCGGCAATATTAAATCGATCCTTTAGTGAATTTCCCATAGCGTACAGCAATGCGTTATTACCGTATGTATCATGGTAAGATCTGGGACATGAGGGAAAATCCTTTAGAATAATGAAATATATTATGTATATGTTTGGGTTAAGTTAGGTTAGGTTAGTTTACTTTATATTATATAAATTAATTGACAAGGGTAAACCAGTTTTATTAATGGACCTTTTTTCCTACAACAGCGTATTTTATACTCTGCCTACAGTGGCAACAGGAATTCTGTAGAATGATTAGGCAAAGTATATAATGAGCTGTATTTCATACTTTGCCTGGTTCATTTTATGCATTGAATATAGGCCTACTTCACCTGTAACATTATACAATATTGTAAGGTTCCGAAGACGAGTCGCGAGTTCCAAGGAAGAAAACAAACAGGATAAGGATAACAAGGACAAGATGAGTGTTATTCTTGATCGTCGTCGTCGGCCAGCCAGTGAGTTTCCTTGACAGTGACCAAGGTGGACTAGTGCTACAACGGTACTTGCACCTGAGACTGTCAGTTGTACAGACACTGTTGTAGGTTGTAGTGGTGTTGCTAGGTACTTCACGACAAATGGAGGACGAACACACACAGAGGCGGAGTAGACCAGTGAGTTATACGAGAGGTCGTCCAGTGGTCGAAACTCGACCAAAAATATGTAATGTACTCACTTATCTATTTTCACCCCACACTGTAAATAAAACATGTTATTGGAGTTTCCTCCATTTGTTTTGATTTTCTGTTTATATTTCGTTGTTATTTCGTAACCAGCATAGCAACGCATAAGATCCATGTTAATTTTTTCAAATTTTTAAACTCATTTTTTGTGCTTATCTTTGAGCCTATTTAAATTTATAAAGGGATTCTGCACACCTACAGGAAAATAGCTTTCCAACGGTATGCGTAGATTTTCCCTACGATTCACACGAGCTGAGAAAAAAGGTTTTAAAGAAACATGCTTGCCTATTAATATATAGATAGATACTTAGTTATTGATAGTTAATGAAATAACTAAGGATAAATTAGGGATGGCATGGATTGGTTCGACAAGTTGATACCGGAGACTACATATTTCACTTTCTCTAGTGAACTTACCAGCTCGTCATACTATATGTTCATGCCAGTAGGCTTTGTATATGGACCACCTTTAGCGTATTTTTATTCGAATAGTAGGTAGTTTGTACTGGATTGAGCTTGTGTCCAAATCATATTTTCTCTCTTATTTTTTTATATGCGATAATTTTTCTATAGTTCTCAACAAGTTTATCTTTCAGTTTCTTTTTTTAATTTAGTGTATGACAGAAATCAGAAATCGAAAAAGCACACTGTTAGATACTTGTTTAAAGTAATTATTAAACCTTTTAGGCTTAATTGTTGCAAGGAAGTTGACAAAGTTAAAGTAATGTATTGAATTCAATCGAAGTAATCCCAAACTATAGAAAATTTGTATACTTATTGAATCTTTTTATATGAGAACTCAACCGAAACCCAAACACTTTGAAATAAACTGCATCAGCAAACTGACACATACTTTTCTCCCATCAGCTTGTCAAAACCCCTGAAATGGGTAAGCCGTGGGATCTTTTAAGAGGAAAATCATAAAACATGCAATAAATTGTGAACAGTAATTAATTATTGTTAGGGTACATCATTCCATACATTGTTGGTACTTGGTAGATAAAAGGACCATGAATACATAACGTACTAAATTTGAATCAAAAAGGTTCGAGCCATTTGGTAAACATCCGATTTCCCGTTATGGGATGGACTTCAAAATTAAAAAAAAATATATAACTTCCAGAGATATTGTTAATTAGTACTCCCATAGAAAAATGTAATCAAAATCGCACCACAACAGGTGTGGTCTGTAGTTCTGTTCACATCCGGCTGTATCACTTTTGATCCGTGGTTTAAGGCAAATTTCTTTACATTTAAAGGGCTGTTTTCTTTACATCACTTTTGTTCCGGGGGTCAGCAAGTAGATTTCGGGACCAGCCGAAACATCACTTTTGATCCGCGGACATCTCTCTTGTTCCGCAAGAGAGGGGGCTGTACTCTCCCTCACCCAAATAAATACTCTCTTACGCATTCCTAATTCTTTCATGCATGCGGACTTTAAAACTCGTTAAATTATCATTTCCTCCTTAACAAAAATATCAATAATTATAATAATTTAACCTGACTAACCTACCTAACATATGAAAGAAAGAATTGAGGATAGCGAAAGAAAGGATTTAGGGGAGGGAGAGTGCAGTCCCATCTCTCGCGGAACAAGAGAGATGTCCGCGGAACAAAAGCGATGTTTCGGCCGGCCCCGAAATCTACCTGCTGACCCCCGGAACAAAAGTGATGTAAAGAAAATAGCCTTTAACTGTGGAAAAAAGCTACACACGCTCACATCCACACAACGACATCATTTCGAAAACAACTTTTTTGAGTTCATGGGACCTAAAACTCAAACTCGTACATTTTGACAAAAATAATAATTACTCTACATGGAATAAAAATAAAAATTGATGTGATTTTATTTCTCTCGAATTAACAAACACTAGCTTATATACACAGTATTGTAAACTTAACAAAGAAAGTGATTATTATTACTAGCCTTTATACTAATGTCCGTTGGTATCCAGAATTATGTATTTATCATTTATTGATAAAGTAACTACGCTTGAAATCGAGAAACAGACATGCCAGTTTGTGGTTAACATTGACTTTAGCTAGTTTCATCAAAGGCATTGCTTAAGATGGTTACCAGACAGAAAGTCGTACAATTGACTATAATGACTAAACAGACATTAGTAACATCCGTTGAAACCTCAAGGTAAAAGTAATATTCTGTTTACTTACCTACTTTGAATTATTTACAAGTTGTGAATCGTTATCTTTCGATCGTCAAATGTCGTCAAGAACTAATTATTGATGCTTAATCTGATCCTTCCTGTATTCTAAGTCATAAACAAGCTCTCAGGATATTCTGATGTGTCTCATTCTAAGAAACAGAATGGTAATATTTCTTGGTTAATTTCTCTTGTAAGAACATTTATCTAAATTGCATTCTTCTTTATTTTGCATGTTTAACGTTGCATGTTTGTCTATCGGTCATAAAAACTTGAAAAATTAATACGGTTATGTGTACTGTACACAATGTGTATGATAAAATGAAGACGAAAAACTTACATAAAACACCCCCGCCACAGCAAACCTTAGAGCGGACTTCCATTTGTCTGATTATATTTTCAACTTATTATATTCCTCATTTATTCCCTATTTAAATAACATTATGATTAAAGAGTGCTTAGGTTTGCTGTTACAGAGAAGGGAAAAGGTGCGTTTTTATGTCAATAATAAGTTATTGTATGAAATAAATACATTTGCCAAATTAGATAAAATATATCCATAAACAAAAAAGCAAACTAAACCAGTTAACTATTTCTCTGTAACATAGCATTTTTTTACAGGGTTTTAAATGTTTTCGGTCTAATTTTTATCGTACCGTACAAAAACGTTTCTATGTAAAATATTTACGATGACTGTAATAAAAATGTCACATTATTACGTTTTAAGAGTGAAATAAAAAAACCATTTTTGAAAAATCTCAAAGCCCCATAATATTTCGTTCTTGTTACCCGCATTAATTAAATCACGCTATAGGGTACTAGGCTATGAAATAAAACAGGAAGTTGAAAACATCGTTGATTATGTGTAGGTTGTCTGAGATTAACCTTAAAGGTATTTTAATCCTTTAAAAGGTTATTTAGTTTATTTATTTATCAGTCCTAATTACCTATCAATGTTAACTCTCCATAGTTTTATTTAACTGCATATAAAATCAACAAAACAGACCAATTTATTTACCTCAATAAATCTCCAATATCAAAACAACTTCGCAAAATGAAGCATGTTTAATAAACATCAAACACTAGAAACAAACTACCTTAATGTTTTACAAACAAAGCACGTACAGTTTAGGCAACACAAAGCGCAGAGCACAGTGTCGCCAACCTTAAATACGTGACCACCGAATTAACCTCTGCCACAGCTTATACAGCAGGGTCTCATAATGTTTGTCAACAATTAGCTTCATTGTTGAACCATATGATTGAGAAGGGGAGAAGAGGTGGTACATCGTGGGGGGGGGGTTATCTATCAGCTGTTCCAAGGCCAGGGAATCCCCACAACTGTTGTGACTGTATGAGTGCATGAGTGAGATCTACTATGAAAACAGCTGTGCAGGGAGTGCTCCAGCTAGCTCTACGAGAACAGCTGGTATTTGTTATCATTGTTGTATTTTTTGTAGTTCCTGATCTTAGCATAATTCACTTGAATTACCGGTACTCGTATGATATTAATGTAGTTTTTAAAGTAGTTTAGAAATTGTTTGGAATGAGTGTTCTTTTGGGGGGTTAGCTACCTACACATTTTCAAAAAATTTTAGAAATTTTTAAACATTTATTTTAGTACCTATTTAGGAAATAATAACTACAAAAGTACTACTGGTGGAATAAGTTGTCTTCGGTTAGGTTTTTGATCAGGAACTAACCCTTCCAATATTTGAGGCTTCACTTATAAATACACAATAAATATTAACATTTTACTCTGAAATATGTCACCTATACATTTCCAAATTTACTTACCTTGGCTTTTCTGTATCCAATTAGTTGCATCATCTACTCAAACTAACAGGATTTAGCTGTCAATTCCTCTCTCCTACTCTTTAAGTTTATTTTAGTAGAAACCTAAAAATACTAACTAATTTACATTTATGTTGATTATATTTTAGGAATTTTTTATTTATCAGAAATTAATTTTCAGAAATTAATTTTTTACTTAAGAGTGTTTTTAGAAGACTAAATATTTATACATTTCACAGTCCAATTATTCTTTTGAAACATGTATTTTGTGGTCAACTTATGGTATACATGGAGGTTTTTCATACAATTATCTGTTTACGATTTTAAAATGTACCTAAAAAAATGTATTCTATATCCTAATATACAGTGGTAGAAATGGTATTCATCAACCACAAAAATGACGAGATGTCTCAAGCTATGCACATTGCAAAACAAATTCAATTAACTTCTGGATTACATGTATTTGAAACCTTTATATCTTTAGTAAGATCATTAAAAATGAGGGTTAGCAATTTAAGAAATTTTTAGTTGATTTTTAAAGTAAGTCTCATTTTCATGCTGCCTCAAAATCCATTAAATTAAATATCAACTAATAAACCTCTAATGAAAATACATTTTGATCATAAGCCAGCATACTGAATAGTACTAAGAAGCAAATGAGTCTAATAACATTTGAAAAGAACATCTGTTTCCCAAATGCCACAGTAAACATAGGCCTAAATGTAATGTTCACTTCCACAATCAATGAAAATAAAATTCTATGAAAATAAAAGGCCTACTGTAGTTTCAGAAGGAAAAAACTCTACACAATGTGTTTTTTTTGCTACATAGTATATCAGAAATCACAAAGCAGAAACAATAAAAGGCCAAAAAGCAATGACCCAAAGCCTTATCAGTCAGCTGTTATCAGAGGTCTATTGTTGCAGCTGAACTTTTACCTTTGTTGTCTGTGGTTCAGCAAAATCTTATCACAATTTTAACATTAAACTTTTATTTTTAAATAAAAGTAATAATGGGACATTTTCAAATTGTGGAATTGTTTTTACCAGCATTCTAGAATATTTTCTGCAATGTAAAAAATATAGATTTTTTATACATACTACCGATGTTACTTATGATTTAACTTTAGACATACAGGTACTTTAATATTGTTCTAATGGGTGGTAATAATGTTGACTATTTTACATTAATATAAAAATAAATATTTCATGTTGTGACTAGTTTGGAGTGGTTTTGTCGTAATGACGAATAAGAATAATTGTATGACAGCAAAAGCACCTTAAAAATAAACATACTGTATTTTATTTCGATAAACTTTTTTCCGGTAAAGATATAGGTATACAGACTGTCCCAAAAGTCCCGGACCGGTTTAATATTTTCTAAACGACAACAGATAAATCAATAAGATTTTGCACAACAACACCACACCTAAAAATCTACTTTTTTTAAGGAAATATCAATTTTCTGTCACATCATGGAGACGTCCCACAAGGAGTCAGAAGGAAATCTTAAATAGAAGCATAGGTTGAAATGTACATCAAATTAAAGGTCTTTGCTAGCAGAATATAATGCCGCAAATTTGAACTCAAACGGACAACCGAATCAAGAATGACAGTGGTTCAAAGATTCATCTAATTTGCATTGCTATTATACGCTTACTCCTCGGGGGGCACAGCCCTAGAATCGGAAGAAAATTGTTAACGTAAGCATAGGTCGATATGCACATCAAATTAAAGGTCTTCCCTTGTAGATTACAATGCCGTAAATTCAAGCTCAATAGAAGGCCTGAATAAAAAATGGCAGTCGTTCAAGGATTCAAAATGGCAGATTCAAGAAATCTTTGAACGGCTGCCATTTTTTACTCAGTTATCCGTTTGAGTTCAAATTTGCAGCATTATATTCTGCTAGTAAAGACCTTTAATTTGATGTACATGTCAACCTATGCTTCTATTTAAGATTTCCTTCTGACTCCTTGTGGGACGTCTCCATGGTGTGACAGAAAATTGATATTTCCTAAAAAAAGTAGATTTTTAGGTGTGGTGTTGATGTACCAAATCTTATTGATTTATCTGTTGTCGTTTAGAAAATATTAAACCGGTCCGGAACTTTTGGGTCAGTCTGTATATATTTATATCACACATTATTAAAACTGAGCAATTAACTTGCTGATAAACAACATTTTTAAAACATGAATTTGTAATTTTTAAATAGTCAACGTTTCGAGGGGTGTATTGGAGTGGGAACGGATGGGAATGGCGTTCCTACTCCAACTTTTCAAATAGTCCTATATATTGAGCCTATTAGAGAGTTCTTAGAGAATGAAAGCTCCCTCTCTGGACATTTTACGACCATCCCTCTGAACGTTCTAACAATTTTTTTTTTAGTTTATCACCATAAAATCAGGTATTGCCTGTGATCAGGTAACAATACTGACTTGGAAAAAGTTGCACCAACACATCCCTACCTGTTACATACCTTATACCTTTCAAATCCCAAAACAGGGTTTATTTACTGCAATACCGTTAAGACATTGGACGAGACTTGTTTTTCCCGTTACCATGGTTCTAAAGGTGTGCTACATTCTCCAGCTGTTCTCATGGGTTGCTCGCAATGTGACCGGGATGTCCGTGGGTGCGCTACGCTGCGTAGTGTGGCCCGTGACGGCTGTGAGCGCACTCAAAGAGCGCAAGACTGTTTCTCCTGTCACGAACCCTCTCCTGCTGCTGACTGCTGGGGAGCTGGCACGTCGAATCAGGACCAAACAGGTAAAGTAATAGTCAATGGTATAAGTTTAGTTGTGGGATCTTTGTGCTGCTAGGCAGTGTTGGACTGATGGGCGGAGTTGCGACTATGGTGGTGAATTCAAGGTGGTGAATTTTTGAGTCTAAATTAGGTTGGAAATTTTCTTTTTTTCTACAGGATGATGGCTTTATGAAACTTGACTATGAAAAATATATATAGATTTGTAATAAAGAAGCTAGATAACTTTGGACGTGGGGACAGTAGGCAGTGGAGTACGCCTACAGAGGTTAACCGTCAGTAAAATATACTAAATTGTTATATTCTAAGCTACCTACCACTCCCTACAACTCCTTTTATATGACTAACATAGGTCAGTTAATTGAGTGTATTAACAAATTCCTTGCCTCCTAGTTTAGTTAGGAAATAATTCTTGGTAAAAAGACATCATTATATTCAACTAGAGAAACAAATTATCAAAGTTCTCATAATTTTCAGGTATCCTGCTCAGAAGTGGTGGCTGCTTACATAGCTAGAGTACAGGAGGTCAACCCGTTGGTCAACGCGGTTGTGCAGGACAGGTTCGAGGCTGCTCTCAAAGACGCGGCACTGGTCGATGCTCTTCTAGCCTCGGGCCAATATTCTGAGGCTGAGCTCGAGGCTAACAAACCTCTTCTGGGCGTGCCATTAACAGTAAAGGAGACTATCGCTGTTAAAGGTAAATGTTGAGTTTTGATTTACTAAAAGTGTTACCTTTGGACGGGATGTTAGAAACTAATTGAGCTGACAAACGCCGCAGTCTGTGATAACATTGAAATAAAAGGGTCTTTTAAAACCCAATTAAGTAAAAGCTCTGACTGTTGATACAACTAGACATTCCATCCATCATTAATTTTGTCACCGTGATTTTAATAAAAACCATCATAATTGATGTGAGCCACCAACAGATTGTACTGACTCATTGTTCTTAAATTATTGTGGACGGACTCATCAGTTTTGATGTTTGTTAGTTTTCACGTCCAGTGCCTTTGGACCACTGAAATCTGTCATCGCTTGCTGATTGGTTCCTGGAATCTGGTACCCAACTTCAGCTGCCTCTTATTAGGTATCTTAGGATCTGAAGTAAATTACAAAATCTTAAATATATAAAATGAAGTAGGTGTACGCGTACATCTATTGAAATGTTGTGAGTTAACAAGAGGAATTTTCTCCCTACTCCAGCAATTTTAGTGAGTATTTGATAACCACAAGACCCCTCGATTTTAAACGTCCCCCTCCGAAAATCATAAAAAATCTTATTGCAGGTATGAGTAACAACGGTGCCTTCAGTCTAGTGGAGTCCCACATAGCTGAGGAAGACGCAGACATCATCAGACTACTGAAGGCAGCTGGAGCCATACCCATACTGGTGTCCAACACACCCGAATTGTGCATGAGCTGGGAGACCTTCAACCCACGGGTGGGCACGACCAACAACCCGTACGACACCCGACGCACACCCGCTGGGTCCTCAGGTGGGGAGGTATGTAGAGAAGCTTTGAATTCAGCAATTCTATTCTGGGTATTTTGTTAGGGTTTTTAATTTTAGGGTTTATTACAAAAGAGTTTAGATATTTCGGGATGGATCGATGGATCAAAATAAATATAACACTGATTGTCATTCATGAGGCTATGGATAATGTTTAAGCAAAGATGGCGACTAAAAGATGCATAAGTCGAGAATAGATGGAAATAAAGTTTAGGGTTACCTAAACAAAATGTGAAAGATCAATTTGGGTCCAGTTTCAAAGGGAGTTTATATTTTACCGGAGAAACTGGCCTTCTTCCAATCACTTCGGTAGAATGAAACATGGAAGATGAACAAGGCTTGTGTGTAAGCTACTAAAAGTCGAATCAGTCTTTAGGAAATCAAAGTTTAATGTGTTACCCAGTTTTAAGAACTTTTTTTGATTAAGTTACCTTATGTTTTGTTGTTTGCCTTTGAGTTCTCAAAGTTCACTTGATAACGTATCTCACCACAGGGTGTAAAAGGTTCTATAGTTAAAAATAAGTTGTCCTTACAGTTTGGTTTGGTTAAAAAGTTGCTGCAATCAACCGAAATTGGTGATTAACATCAGCTTAATCTGTCGATGACTAAATTTAACTCCTCTAAGTTTTATTCTAAATGTTACAATTACATAGAGATGGGCTGTCTACATTTATCATCATTAGTCAAAGGTATTGCAGTACTTTTAATGAAACTAACATGAAATATTAGAGTCTAACCTAGTTTACTTTGCAGGCTGCCTTGCTTGGTTCAGGTGCCTCTGTAATTGGTGTAGGCTCGGATATCTGTGGGTCCCTCAGACTTCCGGCAATGTTCTGCTGTGTCTACGGCCACAAGCCTACTCCAGGTTAGTATGCCAAAGGTATTTTGTTGATAGAATAAACATATTCTTGAAGCTAAAGAGTCAGACTTCATAACCAGGCATTATATCCTCAATAAGGAAACTATTTCTATGACAAATCCAGTAGGATTCTATCAAATAGTAATATCAGTACCTTTGTCATTTTCGTCTACAACAAAGTTATAGTTGGTTAAAGGATCTGTTGGATTAGCTTGAAACTTAGAGCATAGAATTTTCCTACTCAACAGAATGAGTGTCTTTATGATGAGTTTTAAATGAAAACCTGTAAAAAAGTAAGATTGGTAGTAAAGAGTAGAAGTAAGGTGCAGAGTACTTTAAGTATAGTGTCTAGGAAAAAAGTAAGTTAAGTATAGTGTCTTGGGTGAAAATCCAACAGCACCCCCCTCGCCCTCATGTATTACAATGCTCCAGTTGGAGGAAGACCGTGTCCTGTGTGATAGGAATTTCCACACAGTGCTCACCGTTGGGGCTCTTCCTTGCTTGTAACAAGTATATTTCTACACAACAAACGAGAGCTGAAAGCGTACAGTTGTCTCATAAGCAATTTTCCTCTGTGGTGGTACTAAGATAAGAGCTTAATTAGAGGGTTGGTTGTCTTGTGTTTGTTTAAGCCGAGCGAACTATTTAAATTGCATTGGCCTACAACTCTCAATGCTCCAGCTATTTTTTACCTGACACTTTATCATATTGACACTCATATAAGATATTTGCGCCTGTTATTTTTTGTGTGGTTCGTCTCCATATATATTTGTTTTGAACATTAGCAAAATATATATATTGTTGTGACAAGTAGGTAGGTATTCAACCAGATTTTTCTTGAATTTACAGTTGTACAAAAAAAGTACAAATTAGATACAGTGGCTTCAAAAGTTGTTATACCGTCACACAACAAACTAAAGCATTATATGCATTAAATTCAATTATGTTGCTATTTGTGTGTTTAATCCGTTGTTTTCAGGTTACGTAAGCAACAAAGGCCACAGACCAAGTTCGGACGATGAGAGTTGGGATAGGTTCTTTACCCTAGGGCCCATGTGCAGGTTTGCTACGGATCTCCCCATTATGCTGCGAACTCTAGTCAATGACTCGTACAAAATACAGGAGCTGAGGCTAGATGAAGAAGTGAGTTATATATCCAAGTCTGTTAGAGGAATACCCTTTTTTACTCTTGTATTTGATGTCATCATGCGGTGCACTTAGCATTATCAGCATAAAAGAAGAGTTAGAGTGCAAGCCAGGGCTGCTTTAGTAAATGGGCCTGGTGGACCTGGGAATTAGCTGTCCCTGATAAAATAAATTATCCTGGTTAAAGAAACAGCTGATCTTGTAGTCTGAAACAAAGCTACAGAGATCATCTCAGGCCAGGCGCACACAGGCGATTCTGAGTCTAACAACAGTTGCCCGACTAAAATGTTCACCATTGTTTTAAATTGGAGTGCGTACACCGAGGAACAGTTGCGCAACTGTTGCAGCCGATGTTCCCGGATCCAATTTGCCAGAGACAGCTCTGTGACTCAATTGTCACGGGACTATCGCTCCAGGTTTGGTATCCATTGAAACAAGTATAGACGCGCACACATGCGACTAAATTTTCGCTGTGTCGCTCAGTCTCACCCCCAGGATTTCAACTACTCGTGGCCAGAACTGTCACAATTGTTTGCTCTCTTTACGCTGTTTGATGATTTTAGAAAATTATACTTAAATATGAGTCTCCGTGATGAGGATGTTGAACAATGAATTGATGAAGTTGAGAAGAGGCCGTCTTTATATTTAAAGTCATTGAAAGACTATTCGGATATTAATTTGAAGAAGAAGTTGAGGGATGAAGTGTCCTTAGCAGTTACTAAAGATTGGAACAAAAACACAACACAAGAGGATAAAATCAAACAGCAGATTGTGAAGTACACAGCAAACTTTTACTATTGAGTCACTGAATTCAACTCCTTCATTGACAGGTCAAAAGAAAATGCCCCATTTACTAGCTAAAATTCCAAAAGTACATTCCACCATTCTTCGTGCCTGTTGTTGAAGACTTGTTTCACGACTAAAAAGTTGCCTTTGTGCGCAATCGAGCTCAACTGATGCTAGAATTCAGAGTCTCCGAGTGGGTTGCGCAACGTTCAGTCCCCCAATTAGTTGGGCAACTGTTGCTAGGCTCAAAGTCGTCTGTGTGCGCCTGGCCTCACGTGACCTACACTCAGCTTGCATTCATAATCAGCTTGAAATTCTCACCTTGGGTGTTGTCTCAGTATTATGATAGCGATAAATAAGTTATAAATGATAATCTGAAAATAACCCAAGAGCATTTTATCAGTTATTTTCTTGAGTAGAAATATGACAATATTTACAACACCGCCTCTTATCTGACCATTTTCATATCTAGTATTTCTTCACCAATATCTGTGATCTGTTCTGGTTTATAGGTAGACATTTCTCGCCTGAAAGTATTCTACATGGAAGACGACGGCCCAGACAAAGGTTACACGGATCCGATCAACCCAGAGATCAAGTTTGCCATGAGGAGAGCCGTCACCTATCTTCAAGACAAGTACGGTATACAGGCTACTAAGGTTTGTGTTCCAATGTACTCCAATGTAACTTTCTTCTCTTTTACCTTGATGTACTAAAGTGTGCTTTCCTGTAGTTTTAAGAATATTTCAACAATCAAAAATCTTTATTGCCGTTGATCCACACATTAAGCAAATACCTACCTAACGCTTACAATATAAATGAGATATTACAAAAATTTTTTAGAAGACTGTAAAACAATACTTGGTGTTGAGGGGCTCAAATGTGCAACTACATCATGCTTGTCCCTCTGAATGATTCTCTGTAGCTCCTATCTCCTTTCAAAACTATCCAGTTATACTTTCTACTGGTACTTCCAAAACAGTTTTATTTGTGATATTGTATGTACATATGAGTTTATTTGTTACAAATAAATAACAACCAGTATATTTGATGACTGCTGTGTCTACACGATGCCAGCTGGCAGGCAGACTACTTGCCTCAGGGACTTGAAATCTGCCTGATAACCTGCGTGCTCTACTGGCCTTGTGTGAACGTGGCTTCAGAGCTTTATGTAGTTCATGAGTCATCACCTTTCCTTTCAAGATGTCACATCTTATGTGATTACAGCCCGTTACAGCGACTAAAAGCTTATTGCTTAAGAACTTTTGCGGATCTTGTATAATCACATAATTTATAAATTTTTTTAGAAATTCTTCTGACATAGACACGATTTTGTTTAAACATCTTTATTTTTGCAGGCTAATATTCAAGGGCTGACCGGTATTGTCAACTATGCCACATTTATCATGGCCAGGATGAAGGGAATACCAAATGTCTTTCAGAAAGATGAAGCGAAACCAGATGTAAGTATATTTCCATCCTATAATCAAATTCGCATTACAGTAATAGTATGTAATGCAGCTTTCTTGGACAGTCAGTTGAATAAATTTAAATGTAAAACTTTAATTCAGTGATAGTGAAGTAATTAAAGTAGTCATACTTACCAGCACTCTACTTTGAATATTACATGGTGACAAACTTAGAATGGATTGCATCAATTATATAAACTTTGGATTAAACTTTAAAAAAGAAAAAAAAGATTTGCAGTGGGTTACTACAAAGTGGTGTATCCTTGCGCTAATTCGACAAATAGAGAGGCTACCTACAGCGTCTGTTTGAAAGCCTCCAGGTCTAACTCTCTCCAGAAGTGAATTGTAGAGCTTGCTAGTATAGTAGTTGTAGCCCCTTTCGTGTCTAGGCATGACACCATCCCGATAAGTCAAGGAGATGGCCATGTCAAGTATTGTGTATGCGTTAAGCGTTAAGTCTTCCCATTTTGAAAATTCAGCATAGTTTTCCTTCAGTAATACCATGCTGTTTAGGATGTAATGGCTGCAAATGGTCAGTACCCCAAGGTTCTTGTAGAGAGGTACAGTGGTCAGTAGACTTAATCACCCTCAGTTATTTTCTGAAAGAGCAAGATGTTGTGCCGTGTGTGTGAGGAGGGACCCCAAAGCGTGATGGTATAGCTGACTTTGGAAGAGAGCACGGTAAGATATTATTTCTAGATAAACAGCGCAAGTTCCCTAAGAAGATACACAGCTTGACACACACCTAGCCAACATGGTGCCTCCAGCATGACCCATAGGGTCAATCCAGAAGCCCATGAGTTTGACAGCTACTTCACCCAGGTGGTTGGGCTTAGTTTGCATAGCAGTGCATAGGTTTTGTCTTCCTTTATTTTTAACAAGTTTTGGTTGAACCACTCAACCAGTAGCCTATATTTTATGACTGCTGTGTCTGGTTCTAGACAGAAGGCATTTTGCCTCAGTGTGTCACTGGTTCATGGCGTTTCCTCTGATGATTGGTACAGTTTCGTCTGAAAACATGAGAGTTTGTTTTTTAAAGGCAGGTTAAATTGTTAATGACAATTGTGAAGAGGAGTGTGCCACGGACTGAGCCTTGAGGAACTCCATGCAGCAAACTTTTAACACCAGTGATTGCACTGCCAAAGGAGATAACTTTTTTGCTGCCTTCTTGGTAGGAGACAATATAGTATGTAGGTTTTATCCTGTACTTCCTAAGCTTCCATAATGGCATGGGAGATGACATAAAATGCCTTACTACATAGGACATAGCGCACATTTACAGTTCTATCCATAAGGTTAGGAAGTATTATGTCTTCTGATCACTGTTCTTTGACTCTGTGAATTTATTTAGTCCCTCCTTCACCCAGTGGAGTCACCCAATGTTCATCATATTGTGCGTGAAGTAGAACAGGAACACAAATCTTTTGTGACAATCAGCTTTTAAATTAATGAAGGATATCTCTGCCAGAAGCATAAATTTTATTGATGATCACATATTGATGATCAAGTAATGCAATTAACTTTATAAACAGTCTCTTTAAGAATCCATTAAAAGTGTACAATTTTGAAATAGTTTCAGCAGTGACAAATATTCTGAGCGTTTTCAATTTAATTGTCAATTTAGGAATGGAACAGTGTTTTTTCTACGTTTGCGAAACGTCTGGTCGGCCAGTCATCATCTTCCTTGAGCTGTCTGATGTATGCTCCTCTTAAAACTCTGGTGGACAATGTACCTCAAGAAGACTATGAGATAATGCTCAAGAAAAAAGAACACATTATGAACCAGTTCAAGGTAATAAAATCTAAACGTTCAAATTATAAAATAAAATTAATACTATTTTACCTATCGATAATCTGTTTGGTTGTAATAAAGCTAAAGCTGGGTTGACCTAGCAAAGAGCAGAGTGTGAAGAAGCAATTTTCTTCTCATATAACATTAACACATAACCATCAAACATCTAAACATTAGGCCCTACCATTAAATTACCTAAAACAAGATGAGATTGGACTCTGCTCTCCTCGCTCCTCTTCTGCCCCTTGGAAACCCAGCCATTAACAATATTAATATCACACATGGTGGGGAAAATTGAAACAGCAGGGAAGGAAAAGTCCCCTTAACTATTATTGGTACAAATAATATGGTCAGTAACAATTTCTTTCCTCTGGTTTTTCCTCGGGTTAATCACCCAGTGCACATCAGTGGAAAAGAAGAAAACACACTATTTAGGTAATTACTGGAAGGAGTAACACAGGCCGGGGGTTGAACGTTGAACCATATGTCAGTGGTGTTGAGTCTGTTTCAAACTGCTTGTTACAGTTATCAAAACCCCCCCAAGATCGGTTATTTCTACCAAAAAAACTTTTAGGCTTAACCTTCCTAAAAGTGCTATCATTGACTATATATAGTCAATGGTGCTATCTATGAACATATTATAAAAGATAAGTTTTCTAAGAACAATTTTAATTTGGTTGAAACAAACTTAGCCCAATTGTGTCTTTAAGATCACAAAGAAATAAAGGTACAGAAGAAACATTCAACTTAGGTGGTGTCTAGCACTATAGTCCCTGCACAAAGTCCAACACCATCCTCATTTACTACAACGCTCAAGCTGGAGGAAGAACCTGTGCCTTGTTTGATAGGAATTTATGTATAGTGCGAGCCGCTGGGACTCTTTGTTGCTCGTCACAAGAATATTTCCAACATAACATACCAGAGCTGAAAGCTCACTGATATCTCATAAGCGTGTTTCCTCTGTACTTTAATTCTCTGTGTTAAGACCAATTTTGCGACCCCTGTTAGAGTTAACTCTATTTTGTGTCCAGGAGCTGTTGGGAGACAACGGAGTGTTTCTGTACCCCGCTTTCCCACAAGCTGCGCACTTCCACGGGCAAATCTTCTACAAGTTCCTAAACACCGCGTACCTGAGTGCTTTCAACGTGCTGGAACTTCCAGCTACAGCTGTTCCTCTAGGACTCAACAGAGAGGGCCTTCCTATTGGCATACAGGTAACAATGTTTAGCAACTGATAATTAATTTTATGTTCACCACACCACACAGTAAGCAGCTGTTTTATACAGTATTTAAACCAGAAAGTTTACCAGAAAGTTTACCAGAAAGTAAAGTGTAAAGTATTTGAGCCAGAAGCATTAAAGACAGCTGGAATCCAGTAATTTTACCAATCACTCTCACAGTGAAATAACTAAGTTTTGTTTTCCAGCAAGGGTAGATTAGGTATGCGCAAAAGAGGTGAGTGGTGGCAGGCCGCCGTTGTGACTCACACGTCTGATGCCACAAATGCCAGTACGATGTTTATGGCACAGCAGATTGCACAGTGTGATCTGTGATTTTTTAAATTAATTTAAATATAAATAAACCTGATGATACAGCAATTCTTTGCTGGTTTAATCAGTTTTGTGACACAGGAAGTGTTTTGAAAGGACGTTCACCTGGCCAGCTAAAAACAAGTGATGAAAAAGTAAAAGAAATCCGAAAATCCTGCATCGGGGATCCCAAAAAATCAATTTATCAGCAAATTATTCAGTTAAACATACCTAACTTGATACTCTATGATGTTATTCATGAAAGGTTGAGACTTTGTGCCTGAAAAGTTCAGTTAAGACATCAGATTAAACCTGCTGATCATAAGCATACATACTTAATTAGCCCGTTTTATGCTCATGTAAGATTGATGCCATGCCAATCCAAATTTTAATAAATTTTTCTGAATTTTATTGAAGTATTGAAAAAAAAACTTAGTTCTTTCCCCTTCTATTTGACGTTTAAATCGTTTTATTATCTTTCATAGTGCCCAAGCAATGGCCGTTTAAAGTCCCTGCATTCTCTTTCGTAGACCCTCAGTTCTACCAAATTTAATATTCTTATTAACTGAATTAGGTTTACCATTGTAACATATTATGACAAGTTTTCTAATTTTTCAATTTTTTTAAATTCTGTTTAATCCCTTTTAAAGCACTTACTTACTGTAAAAAGCTGTATGTAACTGTTAAAAATGACACTTCATGTATAAATTCTTTTGTAGAAAAGTCTAGACTAAAAGCCCTAGCTTTCCTTGAAAAACCGTACACCAGTACTTTACGAATGCACTAACATATATCGTGACTATTTTTTATGGTTAACCATTTCATCCAGATAATATTTTTTTCTACAGGTTTCTGCATGGCAGAGGCAAGACAGATTGACCATGGCCGTAGCTGCTGCCTTAGAGAAAGAGTTTGGGGGCTGGATTCCTCCAAGTCAAACCAAAAGATAGATTCTTCATTAAAAATTGTTATTATTGAAAATGTTATGCATCACACTAAGTGAAAAGTTTACTTTTATGTGTATTTAATCATCAATAAACTTTTGTATTTAAAGACAAGTTTAATAATATTAATCCATTATTCTCATGATGCGAGCATAAAAGGAAATGCCCTTTATCGATGAAATCTATGCCAGTCTCTACATCTTAAAAAATAAGCATCAAAACTATTATACCAGATTTTATAGACCATATTTCTTTAGATTTTCCTTTGCACACTCACACGCCTATCAACCTCATACTTGAATGGGAGGTCTTGATGAGAAACTTCTGCAAATAATATTAGTTTTTCTATAAAGCTTCCCCTAAGGCAACACACCTTTATTAAAGGGTCGTATTTAATCGCCATCATGGTGCAAAATAGACGTAACATTTAAAATTGAAAAATGAATTAGGGGAAGAAATAAATACAAGACTGTATGAGAATCAACATTTACTAGACAAAATACTTTTATATGAGAATGTGGAAATTCAAACTATCACAACATTAATCTTACGTGAAACAACACACTCAAAGGTATAAAAGTACATAAATAGTAAGGTCTATAAATATTTTCTAATATACAAATTTATATTTACATTGATGTTTCACAATTACAGTTAAATATTTATTACAGTTTTTTTAGAGAATTTCAAGAATGAATACCTATTTGTAAAAAAGGTCATTTTACTCACAATGACCCAGATTATTTTTAATCCTTTTACAACTCATAGAGCCTGCTCAATTTGGTTGAAGATTTTACTTTATTGAAAATAACAAACAATTTTGCAAGTTAGGATTAAGTTTTACTAAAGAGGAATAGAGAGGATGCAACATTTGGTCACTGTTGGAAACAAAATATCTACACTAAAAGTCATATTCACAGCTCCGTACTGCACAGTTGTGCTATATTCTCCTATAACTATAATCTTCATTAAGACTTGAGATTCAGTTTTGACAGATTTTTGCAGATCGATGAATCTTTTTCCTGTGTTGTTCCAGACTCAGAGGTCTTTTTAAGGCATTCTCCCGTCCAGCGAGCTTTTCCACTAGCATGCGACTGTAACAAACAACCTTCAGTTAACAGTGTTACAATTAAAAATACAGGGTGTCAATAAAAGAATATTACAGTTAAGTTTATAGTTAAGTTTTGCTGTTGCTTCTTAATTTACGATGTGTATCTGTGTTGGTTGTATCAGGTACACGCCTAAGTTTACTTTTACTTTTGTTTCCGAATTAGTTTATCTGAATAATTATTGTGACCTAAAATCAAAATTGATGACTAGCAGATACATATAGACAAAGTTGGCCAAGATATTAGCTTCCTCGTTTTCCCGACATCATCCTGTGTTATGTATTCTTTAAACACACCTTAGTTGATAAATTAGAAGAGATAATTATAGATGGGATTATAGATTGGTGGTGGGTTATTCAGACTTTTAACCAAGCTGGACAACTTGTTGTAAGCTATGCATCTTTTAACACTAACTAGTGGTCGTCCAGTGGTCGAAACTCGACCAAAAATATGTAATGTACTCACTTATCTATTTTCACCCCACACTATAAATAAAACATGTGATTGGAGTTTCCTCCATTTGTTTTGATTTTCTGTTTATATTTCGTTGTTATTTCGTAACCAGCATAGCAACGCATAAGATCCATGTTAATTTTTTCAAATTTTTAAACTCATTTTTTGTGCTTATCTTTGAGCCTATTTAAATTTATAAAGGGATTCTGCACACCTACAGGAAAATAGCTTTCCAACGGTATGCGTAGATTTTCCCTACGATTCACACGAGCTGAGAAAAAAGGTTTTAAAGAAACATGCTTGCCTATTAATATATAGATAGATAGATACCGTAACCCTACCCAGGCTGACGCTAACCGAAACCCCCGGTCTGTGAGACCCCGTTTGAAAATAATGGACCCCGCTTAGAAACACACAAACCGAAACCCTTGGCCTGCTTGACCTCGCTTTGAAATACACTAAGGCTGGACTTCTGAGACGGGAATGTTATGAACAGACAACCTGTCAAGGTACGGCACCCACGCAAAATGAACAAACAACCACCAGAGGTAGGGGAAGAAAAGGGGGGAAGGTATTGGGGGAATGGAATCCCCCAAGTAAACAGTGTTGCCAACATGCGTTTGTGAAAATTCCCATGGGTCTGTCAGACCGGGGTTTCGGTAATAGTTAAGTTTACATCAACTATCCCAGTGAAATAAAACTAGGTATAAAATATAATTTTAGACACTAGTTAACACACTCCGTTACTGGCACATTCAACTGTTCTTTTAGAATACAATTGGCTACGTTGGTCCTTTTAGATAGGGTGTACTTCAGCATACAAAGTCAATACTAAAACTTACAGGATCAGTTTATCCTTACCAAAGTAATGTCTCTTTTCCACAGCGAGTTGCACTGTCCATCACACTGAGGGCACGGCCTTTGGAGGGAATATCCGCCACATTCGGCACAATCCAGACACACATGGTCCTCCAACCAGCTGACTCCACACCTGCAACCCGACAAAACAAAATTTAGTTAATTTATTGTTGAGTAAAATAAGTAAACCAGCAGGTTAAATAACACAATGGCAATGAGTAATTTGTACGTTTAAGGTGTAGCTGATTTTAAAGATCAAATTAACAATATAAAACAAGATATAGCTATTTCACCAAATATAATCCAAACGGTAAGTATTTATACACCAAAAATCACCACATCATCTTGTTTTAATTTAGTATTTGGTGATGAAATCATTCATAAGTTTGACAAGTTACAACATTCATCTTTGGAGCTCAAGATGGAAGATTAAACTGATTGTGAAGCAACTAATTAGAGACAAGGACAGCTCACATAAGTCCATCTCAAGGAGGCATGTATACAGTATATTGGATCCTAAATCCATAATATTTCTCCCACGAATATATATATATATTTATTAATTACCGTTATCATCCTCTTAAGCACTAAATTAATTCGTTTTTGAAGGTCATTGTTGGTAATGGTGAGTAAAAATTGTGATAGAAAATGTTCACAATAACCCTTAAACCACTTAATTAATCTTAATATCTAAATATGGTTTTGCACCTTCAAAGATACTAGGTGATGAAAACCGTTTGTTACATTTTTCAAATACTTTGATATTGGTAAAATCCATTCGTTAAAGAAGAGGCTCTATCTAATTTGACATCAGACAATTTTATCCAAAGTTTTTATTGAGTGCGTTTCACAAAATCACATTAATCGCAGAATAAAGAGTTTATTATTGACTTTATTCTGTGCTGAAGGAATCATTGCATTGTCAATGTAGGAAATTACTTAATATTTAAACACAACACAAGTGTTTAACTACTGTAGCAAACCATGAACACAGTCTATCTCTATTATCTCTGAACTTTATCACTGGAGATACTTTCTGTTTATACAACTACAAGAATATAACTGAAATTACATTCTTCTGTTTCCTGTATGCATTCATAAAATGGGTTGAACATTTTAAAATAAACCTTTCAACATTTGGTCCTAATAAGAGTAAAATTATGTACAAATGACGTTTTTGTATGGCTGGAAAAATATAAATTTTGATTGTTTACCACATTTACTCAGGAGAAGTGGGTATTAAGTTTAGAGCAAGGACTTTGATCCTCGAAGTTACAGGTTCAAATTTTCCCAATTACCAATAAAGTTTATCCACATGATAATGCCACGACATTTAAGTCTGAAGCAATATGTAACCGGTTCCATGCTGGGACCTAACATCCTAGGCTGTGAAGGTATAACCAGCAATAATTTGGGAGTGAACATATGAGTTTTACCTGGCGTTAAGGGGCATTTCCATATTTCTAAGAGTATAGGATATAAAAACCATATTTACTCAAAAGAAACACATTTTCAACCTTTCCATTATGGGTCTGAAACATATTCCTAATAATAATAGTCTCAAGTTTTTGCGAACATGAGAACCAGATTTTTAACTCATCTCCTCAGTTTTTTGGTGTGAATAAATTAGTGTAGAATTTTTGTAAACTTACGTAAAACAGGAATACATCTGCAGCCTGATCTCTTCTATGGACAGAACTGATGTTTCCGTGTAAAAGTCTGTCTGTTGGAATCCGTGGTTGTACTGAGAGTTTGGATGAACACTTGCTACTGACATTCTGCAACGAAAATATCCATTTAAAATCAGCGGATTCATGAAACTCTAGACAATGTCTTGAGATTCGTAAAATATTGAACACTCTTCAGTTTGGATCCTGAGAAAAGTCAGTAGCCCCCCAAAAAAATGGTTCTCTGGACCCAGCTGTCCTTGATCATTGGGCTTTCAAATAATATTGCTGAATAAATAAACAGCGGATCTAGTCAGTAACAAAGCAACACAGATCACTCCATACTACACTCATCCTTCATTCATATTTGGGTTGAAATACACACCGAGGTGTGTGTCTGTCTTAAAAATAATAGTTGATTAATGATTAATGGCATTGTCTACTCACTGCCATTGACTATATAGTATTGACTATATATAGTCAATGGCACTGTTAAGGTGGAACATAACTGTAACTATTTTTGTATTTATGTGTTAACAGACAAATTTTAAAAATATGAAAGTAAAAGAATAAGAATACATAAATTTCTTGAATAAATAATTGTAGCTTACATTGTAAAAAAACACAATTACAAAATGTATAGAAAAACTGAGGTACCAGTTTCTGAGAAAAAGTATCTTAAAATCGTACAAATTAAAATTGCAGGGATACTCTTAAAAGCTTTTAACCCAGAAGGCTTGTTGGAAACATCATTACTGCAATTTCTTCCATGATCCACTACAACTTACAGTTGGTTGCATGGGAAAATTATTACTTTTCATTTAGGTCCTTTGTTATATTTATTTTTTCAATAATGTTGACCATACTATTTATTCATACTTCAACCAAGTTTGAGTGAGAAGATAGGAGAGAGTCGCATTATTTGTTTCCCTTATGAAGTGAAATAAATATGATCTGAATATAGAGATGAAGGCTACAAAAATCAAAATTAACATACTTCGGCTTTTTAGAGTCAATTACTGTACTAAAATCGAATACTCAATAAATCAGGAAATAACAAGATGACTCAAAAAATGTTCATACAATATAATTGTTCACACATTTAATTACGTAGGATCCGTCGTTTTCCATTAGCTATTTGCTGTAAGAGCATTGACCTTTATCACAAACAGATTGACTAAAACAAAATATTTAGTCTTAGAGAACAAAACACCACATTAAAGATATCCAATGACAACAAAATGTTTTTTATGTCACTGTTTAAATCAATATAGCTGTCTTTTATATCTTAACATCACAAAGATGCATACAACTTTAAATCTATAAGTAGCCGTAAAATGACGAAAATAACCGAATTTCTACGAACAAAGATAGATTGAGAGGAAATCAGAGAATTCTGGGAATTATTACGAAACATTCTGTAGGAAACTCCAAGAAGTGTGCGTGTGTCTGTGTGTGAGTTTGATATTAGGCGAGTGTTAGTGTTTGTAAAGTTGTTTACAGGTAAACAGGAAACCCTGCGCGTGTTTCCAGCGACATTACGGTGTTGGGTTTCACCTATATTTGGAGGAAGGCGAGACAAAATACCAGATTATATTCACTCCTAATCAGGAGAAGTTATTTTTAGAACGGAAAGACTAATTGAGTTTGGAAGTCGAGAAGTATCTGAATAGAGATAATTCATTTAGAAATCGCTGCATGAGTTGTAAATTTGACTACCGTGCAAGAAATCAACTGAGATTAATTTATGATAAGATGAAATTACAGTGTTACCTTGAATATCTTCAAACAGACCAATATTTTGTTTTTAATAAGTTTTTGTTTCTGGAATTTCTTTGACCAAATCTCAAGGAAATGTAGATTATTAAGTTATCAAATGAGTGTGGCCGGCAAAATCACCTATCTTTAAAACACCATTTGTACTAAACTAAAAACTAGACATATTTCATGATCTATTGGGATTTTTCTTCTCAAAATTCAGAGTATATTAATTTATAGATTTAAATATTCCGATATATTGTTGCTTCGTTGTTCTTTTGACAGTGATGTTAAGTTTCAACATTTTTGAACCAATAATGTTTACCATTGGTTGAGAATGCGGCAAGTTGTCTCTCGTACTAAAATCAGGTTCTTATATAGTTGAATATTTTATTGCAAATTTTACATTTTTCACTAACTTTAGGCTATGCCATACTGGAACAAGCATCAGTTTATACTTTTTTCTAGTTGATTGCGCTTATAATACTCTTATGATAAAATGAGAAGAAATATTAACATTTAAACGTTCCCCATATAAACCGGGTGGAAACATAGTATATAACAGATTTTTTTAGATTTTTTAAATCTATAGTTTGTTTTTAAATATAAAATTTGACAAAAAAATGCATTTGTACACAATCTAGTTTTACGGATAGCTACTGTAAACTAAAACTGGACAACCTACAATGGTAAGTTTTAATCAACATTTACGAATTATAAAGTAAATACCCCCGCCGCAGAAAACCTGCATACTAAGCAAATTTTCATTTGTCTAAATTGATTTTCAATGAATCTATTTAAATAGGTTTAACGATTACCATTAGGTTTGCTGCTAGAAGGAAACGATTTAAGTGGAGGGTTTTAGTAAAATATTAATAGCTTAGCATACAATAAATAAATTTGCCAAGTTTGGTCAAAATCAAAATATATCCATAAACAAGCAAACTACAACATTTTACAATATTCTCCATAAGAATAAATAACATGGGAATTTTAAATTTACAATTTTTCGAATTTTCTCTGTTACCAATAACCGTACAAAAACAATTTGATATACTAAATTATTTGTGTTTTTTTGAGCTCTTTAAAAAGGTCTAGAGAGAAATTAATATAAAAAAAATGAGAAAACCAATTTTTTACCCCTTAAAGCTCCCGTGAAACCCCATTCCCACGGTCCGATCATGCTGGTTCACGAGCTCATTCAAGTTTATCCCGCCTTAAACCAAATTTCATCAAAATCTGACAAAAATTACTCGAGTTATCACGTTTACGGACATCAAATTTTGGTACTTATATTAAATTTTTTCATCGAATGGTGTTTTTGGGTTCTAGGGACCTCAAAACGAAAAAATAAATCGGTCCCGGGTCCGATTACTATGAGACCTACGGTAACAGCTTATTCCCTATAAGAGAAATTCGCTAAAACGAGGAAATTTCACACTTTTGGGATAGAAAAAACTAACATTATATATTGAAACAATGAGAGAGCGATAACAGAAAGAGACCAGACAAGGTCGATAGGGAAAGTTCAGCTACGTAGTCAACTAATGCAGTTTCTCTGTCCTTTCACAAGATACAAGTACACTTTATCTGAAACTGTTTATAATATAAACTTGTGAATAGCATTGTATGATATTCCATAAACGGACGATGGAATCCCTAGGCTTGTACAGAAGAAGATGAACTTGCATGAAAATTAAGAAAATTAAATCAACATGGAAAGTTTTGATTTTTCAAATCCATCACGAATGCTGCAGTTAGTTGGATTTGTTAGTGTCAGAGCAATAAAAATTGTAGACATAAGATAGCAGCATACAGTGGCAGCGACAATAGCGAAACCCAGGGTTGAATGGTTAAATGAGGGCATTGTCAATTGATACTCCGACTGCATTCTTATGTCTCTTTTAGAGGGAATCGACTTAAATTTGCAAAAGATTCACATAGAAGTTTATGCAAATGATTCTCAAAAACGTGTAATATATGTTTGTAAAATAATATTAAAACATACTGCACTCTATACGTAAATCATAAAAAAACTAAATTTTAACTGTGAAAAATACACAATGAATTTAAATTTTAGGTAATAAACTAAGCAATGTAATATAAACCAGATAAAACAGGACGAAAATAAAATAATATTTACTTACAGGATGTTTCTATCATAGGAGTCGCACATTTCGATTGTCTATTCTGATGTATTTTGAATTTGTACAAATTCGTCGGAGTTATCTTAATGCTAATCATTGGCTAACCACGAAGATTGATAACGAGTAAACAAAAACAATCGCAATCGTGTCAATCAGTAGCCATACGTAATCACTAATCAGTAGCTACGTAAATCTCTTATCAAACACAGATTTGACGTCAAATATAAAGTCGTCACCAGTTTTATTTATTTCGCGTAAACATGCTGTTAAAAATGTTAACAGTTCCAAGTGTTTATATCTTTCACTGTTGGATAATATTCCAAATGTTGTGTATCGACACATTCTGCCTTTGCTCTCCTATAGGTAGCGATTTCTTGTTAAATTGTTTTGTTTACAAAACAGCACGAATTGAGTTTTAGCGTAACGTGAACTGGCGTGAAAGTATTTCAGTCTTAAGTGAAAGTTCTGGAGCACACGAAAGTTACAGAAAATCCCTGATTCAATGTCAGTTGCTAAAATTATTGATTTTAGGAAATTTAAGATAGTTAAATATGACAGTCTATTAGTTTGTAATTAGGTACCTTTCTGTACTAAATTTCAATTAAAATTCCCAGGATCGTTTTAAAATTTTATATTTACATTTAAAAGGTTTATGAATCAAAGACAATTGTGTGCAGCTAATTTTGCACTACACTTATCTCCATCCATACTTGGCTTAATACCTATTTACGTATGATTCCCATTTCAATTAAACATATTAAAATGTGCTGTTTTGTAAAGCACAAATGACTAAAAATATTTTTAAACTCAACAGCACATATTGCAAAATAACGTCGAATTTACTATGCATTATAACTTTGTGTCATAAAAAATAAAACAATCATCACTAAGACAATGAAATCTATCAAAAAATGTGTTAAAAACCATTAATTGCTATATAACTTACCTTCACTTTGCGATAGTCCTACGAATTACACAAATATATCACAATGTGTTGCACTTGTGTAGTAAAACCAACTTAGTAAACTTAACACAAAAGATGATCGACAAAGGTACAACACCTTTCTTCGACCAGTTCTCTAGCTAGACTAACGGTGAGCAAAGAGTTATACTGTAAAAGCGAAGTCAGTAGCCACGCCGTGGTGGGGGCAACCGCTGAAATATCCCCACAGTGATGGGAAATTACCCGTCTAATCTTGAAATTTCCCCCGGGCGTCATTATCTAATTAGAGAATTAGACAGTTAATATTCCACTGCACATTATTAGGTTCCTGTCAATATGGAAAATAATGCTTAATGTTTTTTAAGTGAAATGTTTTCACTCAACCCGTCTCAATCACCCATGGAGAATTTGGTTGTGTTGTTACTGTATTCCTAAAATTGTTAAAACATTAGAGCTTAACTTAAGTATAGACATAGACTTAAACTTGCTCCTTAAAGAATTATTAACTTTTTGGTCACGCTGTAGACAATATTGTAGTATTAATTCAGGCCAGTTGATGCAAAGGGTTATTTTGTTGTTTATACAATTTTCCTTTCTTGTTTTACCATTGTTAAAACTTTTTTTATACAAATAAACGTAGCCTCTATATGTACAAACCATAGACTTCTGTATCTTAATCGTAGACGGCAAAGTAAAATCAACAAACAAAAATTAAATATGAACATTGACTCAATTAGCGTGATCAAATAAAACACTTTTTTTTAAATAGCAACAAGTCTTACAACAATATCACTTTTACTTTATGGCAAAGACATAGTCCGTAGTCTTAAAACATTGTATTATTTTATGGATAACGCACCACTGAAATGTTACAACACCTCTATTCGTCTATGTTATCCTTATTACAGAAACTAAACAATTAAATTATCAGTTACAAAATGTGTATTGTTCATTGCCCTGAAGAGATAGACTTGTGCAGTTTTGATTGAACATTCGTTTGTTCGGGTTTGGTTAGTTCGTACAGTAGTTGCAATTCACTTTTGCGAATTTCTCAGAAGTTTCAAACCAGTTTGGTGTAATGGCTGCATGTACGTCCACTATCGGGTAATTTCATGCACGCACACACACTGATTACATACATTAAAGGATGGCTGTGCATGTACGAGCATGAATTATACCGAGCTCTTGCACTTGCATTAAATTATTCAATTCTTAAAAGTTGATTTTCAAAGTTTGCAATGTTACAATCTTTAACTCAGGTTTTCTTATAAAATATTATATTCCACCCAATATAAACATGTATATGGATCTAAATTAAATAGGTATACTTTTAGGATTTTATTTAGTGGTAACTTATAGTTTTGTACGGATTCCGTAATTTGCTATACAGGACGACAAAATTATATGTCGAATGCACGTAGCTATACCAAAGAGAGGGGATTATCCTACTAATGTTATAAAGAGTAAGTTTGGATGTATGTATGTATGTTTGTGACAAGTAAACGCGAAAAATACTGGTCGGATTGGGCTGAAATATGGGGGTGATGATAGCTCACATTCCCGATTAACATAGGCATATTGTTATCTCAAAACTACTTTTAGGCTCCGCCCCAAAGGCTCTGGAGTTTCCCATTTTAACCTTATGGGTATTCACATTTGAAAGGAATTAAATAATTTTAATAATTTAATAATTAATAATTTAATAATTTAATAATTTTTTTTAATAATTAATAATTTTGTCAGCTGATTCGACCAAACAATTGGTTCTATGATATTCAATAGCATTAAAAAGTTATAAGGTATACCAACAGGTTGCAGCACTATTATATTTTTTTGCAATTAATTATGACAACAGCTAATTTGAAGTATATCCCCACAGATATCAAAAATCTGTGATACACCTTGTACACAATGAGAACCTGACAAAGTAGGATTGCTTACAGTAATGTTTGTTTTTAATTTAATACATAATTTGTGATATTGTGTGAATGTTTGATCATTTAATTTTTTATATTGTTTAGGTGCAGTGGTAGAACAGAATGGCTATGGTAGATGTGTAATACTACACTGTATACAGTATACTATATCTGTAATGCTATAGCATATCGTAAATAATAAGAACCAAATTCTCTCAAGCCTTATCCTCCCTCATTACAAACGCAAAGCTAGAGTATAACTGCAATAAGCATTTTATACTTGTACGCAAACGCCGTACGAGGAACGGGTACTCTGCTAGTATTAAATATCCGAAATAAATCCATAGGTAGTACTGTACCGTAAAATAAAAATCATTCTCAGATCGGGGGGTTTCGCACACCCGCGCCCCCCTCATAATGTTTAGGCCCCCTTCATTACACTAATCCCTAGTAGTCAAACACGTGGCTATCTTTGAATGGTGGTAAATTAAAGTGTGCATGTTTAGAATGATTTATGACTCGGCCAATAACCGTAAAACAATAGAGATAATCTTAATGTAGTGTGCTACGACAGCCATAAAGTTGCCAAACAAAGTGTTACACAACACGTTGTATGTATACAAATAGTTCAATGACCGCAGTAAATGTATCGAGTAAAATGACTCATGAAAATATGACAGACGCGACACAACTTCGAGTCTGGCTAAAGTTTGTCGAGTAAACAATGTGATGAATCAGCTGATTTAGATGTAAAATATATATTTACAGCTGTTATTAAAGTTGAATACTCCAGCCGCAGCAACCCTGCAGATTATACGAATTTTGATTTGCCTAAATGGATTTTCACTGAAATATTTCTTTAAAATTTCAGATTTATTCCCTAGTTTCATAAAATTAGGTTTAACAAGGTACTTAGGGTTTTTTGCTACAGGGAAATATTAATAGCTGAGAATAAAATAAAGAAATATGCCAAAACTTTATACAAATAAATCTACAAACAAGCAAACTACAACAGTTAACTTTTCCTCCACAAAAATAACATAGGAATTTCAATACACCATATTATTTTTTTTCAATGTCCAAGGTCATGAAAGGAAATACTTATGAAATGTTATGTTTTGAAGTTAAAATGAGCAAACCCAGTTTCCACCCCATCAATCCCTACATACCGGTAAAACATTGTTCCCATAATCCGGCCTTGGTCTTGCAATGAGACATATGGTAATAGCCCTATGTGGGAAATACACAAAAAAGGAACGAATTAGGTTAATGGGATAAATAGAGAAAAAAACACTAAGCGCATATTTTTTAGAACAAAACTTTTTATGTGATACTGCAAAACAATCTTAGAATGTACTGTATAATTTTGAAACAGCCGACCAGGCAACAATTTTACGTGCGATTCTGCAAATAACCTTACTGGCTGTTAAAGGTCAAACCGCGGCTGAAAAGCGTAACTAATGATTCAATAATGGTAACATAATCAGTCTAGTTTACTATGCAAATCTTCCACGGCTACACACCCGACTGGACCGCAGAACATTCTGATTACGTAACGTTGGTTATATAACGTAATCAGTTCATTTGTGGACTGATTAGCTTCGTTGATTTATTATTTGATTTGAAAAATTAGCAAAAAGAAAGAAATGCATTTAAAAAAGCATGGATGAATATATTTAATTTAGAGGACGTTCTTCTCGTCTGAGAGATTTCTTTCGAACAAAAACCTTTAGTAGGACATAATTATCATTTAGTGGAACGAGTGGAACAAACATTAAGTAGTAAAATGGCATACATTTTTGTACATGGTCTCACGCTTAACAGTCGCCGACTTGCTGTACCGATTTTGATCACAAATATAGAAAATTTAAATATATATTTACTGATATTACCACAAGTTCATTATGAAAGATTGTTTTTTATTTCATTATTTATTTAGTTAAGATTTTGCTGTCACACGAGTATTTGTATATTCAGGGTCCTAGTTTGCGCGCGTACACTCACTTCAGATTTAACACTGCAGCAAGTTTAATATCACAGGCTTTCTGATGCACAGCATATTTTGTCCACTTATGATTTGATAAAAGATTTGACAAATGTGAATCATATAATATGTTCATAGTCAATGGTAGACCTATCATTATGAAAATGAAATCTATGAATGTTGGCGAAAGCATTGAAATTTTTCCAAATTTCACCATAGGTATTTATTTTTGAAATATTTATATTGTCAAAACGAAATATATAAAAATAATAAACAAACACACTTCGTTTTGTTAAAAGCATACACAAGCGTTTCGTTAGCAATCTACAAGCCCGCTGACTGCTATATCGAACCGTCAAGTGTGATTCTTTGACGACCTTGTCCATTTCTTTTGACACGATGTTTTTGATAGATTGAGTTCTCAGATACAGCTGTTGCTGGATCACCCAGACAGTCCTTGATTGTCTGTAGACATGCTAATGTATCAGATGTAAGGTGACCTCGCCTAGCCTAGCCTTGGACCAATGATGTAAGAATCAGGAAGTGGCTTCTGACCTGTCCTTGTCCTGTCGCATCCTTCGACCTGAACATCCTCTGCCTCATTACCTCCTTTAGTGTCCTTAGTCCTTAGCTTGCATAAGACATCAGAACTGTGGCGCAACTAAATTGAGTAAGATCCCTAAAGAGGACCTTCAATTTTAGTTTTTGAGTGAGAGGTTACCACGTATTATCCACAGAACGACCTCAGAGTGTTATAAATTAGTCCTGACCAGTCTGGCATTAGTCTAGATAAATTGTTCTGGGCATATTAGTGGTGAACGCTCTATTGAAGTGTCTACCTCTGTTTGTAGAAGCCCTGCAAACCCTTAAACAATACGAGCTGTGATTGTTTTATAGCTTAGTTTTATTATGGTTTTATTTAATGTAGTATTGTACTGGTGAGACTATTCTTCGTCATACTGCAGCAAAAACAGGTGTGTTTAAAACATACGTTACGGGTCAGCTCCCTAGGGAGTAAAGGTCAGGTTAGCTGTTGTAAAATTCGATTAATCAATAGCCTGTATCGAAAATATGCACAAATTGAATGTGTCGATTGTAGCTTATTGTCGAATTCTTGTCAATAGTTCGACAATCGACAAATCGAATGTAATCTAACACAATCGTAATAGACTAAATAAAATGATTGAATCAATTACCAAACAGCTGTTTGTTTGCATTATCAACATTGGAAACAAGCTAGAAGTC